AAATGTTATCTAGAAAAATATAAATATATATTTATTAAATACATAAATATACATGTATTTATTATATTATAAAAATATAAATACATATTTAAATATTATATTTTTATATATATTAATTATATTTGTATTTATTATATTTATAAAAATATATTAATAATATAAATATATAAATATATTTTTATGTTATATTAAAAATATATTTATATTTATTTCATATAATTATATAAATAAAATTTAAAATTTTGAAAAAATATATATAATATTTATATATTTATTTTCTATAAAAATATCTATTTATATTTAATACATATTATTTTATTTTAAAACTTTTATTAATTATCGAGTTCGGAATTCGATTAGGGAGACGGAATTCCGACCGTGTAAAAAAATATACCATTTGAGTGATTGTTTGCTACGTTATTATATTATGTATGCATTTTTAAATCAAAACTTTGTTAAAGAAGAAAGAAAATTCTCAAATATTGTCTATTTTAATTATAAAAACATATTACTTAATTAATATCAAAGTTATCAAAATTACTTAAACATTTAACATAAACAATAATATGATGTTTAATCCTATAATTTAATATCAAAGTTATTAAAATTACTTAAATAACAATATAATGTTTAATGTTCTAATATAATATGTAATTAATATTTAATTATTAAAAAACTTCAATATATAGCATATTATAAAAATAATTTTATTATTATAGCTTTTATAATAAGAAAAAAAAATCCCTCTTACACAAAAAGAGCATACCTGAAATATAATATATTTTTTTCCTCGGTCTTGTATATAATATACTTTTTGAAATATCATAAATTTTATTTATAATTTTCAAAATAATATTATTTATAGTCTTTAGATATAAAAAAATATTTATCATCAAAATAGTCAATTTAAAAAAAAAATAATATATATATATATATATTTAAATTATTTGTGCGTATATAAAATAATCATATAAGTTGTGCTCCTCCATAATCCATTTTCACTTTAAATTTATATATATCAAGAAGAATTCTTATTTAGATTTAATTTTCATCGTTATTTCAAAACTTATAATGTAAAAATTACAATTAAAACTTTTAAACAAGGATATTGTCCCAGTGAAGAAAAATATAACAAAATTCTTTATATAAATATATTTGTATAACAAAATTCTTTATATAAATATTCTTTATATTATATCTGTTTACTAAACCTTTTTTTATTAAATAAAATATTATATTTGTTTACTAAAACTCTTTTTTATTAAATAAATTATATATATATATATATATATATATATATATATATATAAACATATAATTATTGTCATATATATATATATATACAAAAGTATATATAAATATATTAAACATATAATTATACAATATATATTTATTATATATAAAGTATATATTTATATTTATTATATATTACATTGAATAAAGTTATAATATATATAACAACATATAAATATGTATTTATCATATTTATAAAAATGTATATAAATATATTAAAATATAATAAAAATATTTATATATAATTTTATATTATATTAATAAAAATGTATTTATCATATTTCTATAAAAATATTATTTTTACTTACTAAAATTATTTTATATTAAAAATATATTTAAATAATATATATAATTTATTTATATAAAAATTTTATGCAGAAAAATATAAATATATATTTATTAAATTTTATTATATTTATAAAAATATAAATAAATATTCAAATATTATATATATATATATATATATATAAATATATTTATATTTACAAAAATATTTTAATAATATAATTTTATAAATATTTTTTTTATTATTTAAAAAATTATATTTATATTTATTTCATATATATATATAAATAAAATTAAAATATATATATATATATATATATATATATATTTAATTTATATTTAATAAATATTATTAGATTTAAATTTTTTTATTAATTTTAAAGTTAGAATTGGATGGCCGCAAGGTAATATCCGATCACACATAAAAATGTACTATTTAAACTGATATTTACCTCAATTTAGATTGAAAAAGAAAATCCATAAATGTGTGACAAAATCTTGCAAAAGCAAAATAAATAGGATAATTTATTTTTTTTGAATTAGATATACATATATAATTAAGGAAAAAATAACTGTATTGAATATTTTCATTTTAATCCATACAGTTTATAAGCTAAGTACATATAGGAACCCACTTGATTGTTCCAACATAATATAATGAATTGTAGCTATAACTACCTTGTAAGAAAATGAATGCCACAAATGACATGTATGAGATATCATACTCACCATAGAAAAGTAGAGGAAATGTAAGAGAATGTAAAACATAAAATACTTCTGAATTAAGATTCTTCCGTTGTAATAAAATAATTCTTTTAATTTTTGTAGAACATATGACACAGATGCATTGTCATACATGACAAACAATAAAATGATTACCAAAAAACAAACAGATAACGTATATTTGGTTTTTTAAGGGAAACATGGTACCCCGCAATCCACATCGTCACGGTTAGGAGCTACAATGATTGTTTTTCTTATAGAAAACAATAAACACTTATTAATTCATTGTTTTGTCACATGGTTTTGAAACAAAACTGACAACTATTTACAAATATTTTAAAACATAAATAACTTCATTCAAGTGAGTTAAACATAAAATAATGAAACGGAATAATGTATTTCAATTTGAGAATAAAAACTTATTTTAATATAAAGAACTTAAAAAAACTGACAATGATGGGAATGAGACCTTGTCATGATTATGACAAATGTTTTTCTTTTTAAAAATGATAAAGATATAATGAATGAATTGCATATTTCTTAATATGAACGGAAAATCAGTAATTTATTTGTCATTCGAAAAATGGTTTTTATGTTTTGTCGATTGTATTTATAAATAATTTCTTGTTATGATTATAAATATTCTATTAAATGTTGTGTCCAGTAATGAAGGAGAATACAATCATTTTTAAGTATGACACATATATAGTATTTTGTGAATTAAAAAAAAATTCTTGAGACTAACATAAAAAATTATATAAAAATTTATTTTTTTTAAATTCACAGAAAATTTGTACCAAATATGAATTTTTTAATAATAATACTCTGAATTGGAAACAGTAGAAAAGATAACTAAACACATATTCTTCATGATATTTTATACGAAAAGATAATATTATCCCAATAAAAAAAAGATGGCTACAAAATCCGCAATGATTTTATACGAAATGACAATATTACGTCATGTACAATTGAAAAAAATTTTGACAAAAGAATAATTTTTTTGAGGAAAAAAAAAGTGAGTTGAAGTTTGTTATCAATCTGAAGATAAAAAAAATCATGGTTCAAATTTCTTCTTAAAATTTGTAGACATATAATTTTTCATGCAATTCATTCCATGATCAAACGCCTTAAATCAATTTGATTGTATAGCTAATGGATAAGGGTTCATACTCTTCAATCCTTGCAAGAATTAATAACCTCTAATTGGTGAATTAAGTTTTTATAAATTTGATAAAATAAAGTTTAATGGAAAAAGTCCTTTTGTAATTGCGTTAAATACATACAAAAATTATGAATTATATGAATGACTCAACCCATTTACGAGTCATGTACAGAACAAAATGCAATTAAATTCTATTAACTAGTAAAGTGTTATGACTAACTTAATAATCTTAACAATTAGCTTAATATTTGATAATTAACTTTTTCATATAATTAATATCAGTACGCACAAACAATCTAACAATAAGATCATTTATTATAACGCATAAACTTTTAGTGAAAAACTAAAGGATTAAGTTTTATATTAGACAGTGATGACTATAGTATTATTTAGTGAAGAACACTCATAATGGTATTGAACATTATATGTAATAAGGTAATTATAACAAGTGCACATTATTTAACCTAATATTTTATGTTTTGAGAGACTAGACACCGTTCAAAATATTCTATTCATTGTACACTTAGCCGCTGCAAAAGCTACGATGAAGATGAAACTAAAACAACTCTCCCTTTCGTTCAACGTTTATTGGCGTCAGAAATATTAATTTAAAACAAATGATTGAGGTGTTCGGAGTTCAATTCAAAGATGAATTCTCAGGTCTCAGTAACGTTAGCACACATTTGTTTATGCATAAAAAAAAAAGAACAAAAAAAGTAAGAGTAAGCCACGACAAACTCACATCACTAAAATTGTTAACAAAACACATTTACTAACACACGCGACGTGAAAACAACACGTGTAAGAAAGACTAAGAGATGTTTAAAAAGTAATAGTAATATTCAAAGCATATTATGGGATCAAATAAGCTATAGTGACTTCACATTGCATTGTTTTAAATTAAAGAATTCGTTTGTGTTTGAAAAGTGGGATATATTTATTAATTAGAATTGGAATTGGAATTGGAATTGGAATTGGAGGGTAAAAGATGAGGTAGGTTTGCGTCAACCGCAATACTCACCGCACGTGGGGTCCTACGACACAGCATGCAAGTCCTTACACAGTTGTCGTACCTTATCCTCAACCTTAGACTTTCAAACTTTGACCTTGACTTTTCTCCTATGAATTTTCAACCGTTCTTTCTCTTTTATAAAAAGTCATACGAGGGAAAACCTTTTCAATTATTCCAACACAGCACAACATAACATGTACACACTCACAGTGCTTAGAGTAGCTTTATATTATATGGATTAAGAATGATTTTATATATATTAAATGTCGTTTAAGATTTTTCTTTTATAATATTAAATTTTTGTATGTTTTTTGTTTTTTTTTTCACTTCTATTTTTATGATAATAAATAATGTATTTTTATTACTTAAAAGCTAGTTAGAAAGTAAAAAGAATAATTGTGAATTTTTTTTTAAGAATTGTCATTGCAGTGATGGATCAACAAATAAATAAAAACCAAAACTTTCAAAAAGTTGAATGTTAATCAGAATAAGTTATCATTGTTTAACACTAAAATGGTTATCCTACTCATGTGAAGCAACGTGATGAAATAGTGGCGTATAAGTGACTTTCAAATCCAACGGTGGTGGAGCTAGACACGTGTCGGAATCAAGATCAGCGTAATATGGTGTGTTCTTGGCGACTACTGACCCGAAAATTTTGGATCGTAACCATTTTTAGGTTCTGATATTAATGACATGTTTGGATATCTGTTTTTCAATTATGCAAACTGAATTTTACATATTTCGAAGCAGAAAACCGTGAACTAAGTAGTTCTATATTTTTATGTTGAGCGTTAAGTTTTGATGATTTCAACTTGTAACCAAACACATTATAAGCTGCGGCATTACGATTTGGAATTCAAATATGCATACAATCTGAATAAAATATCTAAGTTTGCATAATTATTGACTACCTCGTTTTTTGTGATGTTTTGATATAAGAAATATTTTAATATTTATATATATATATATATATATATATATATATTTATATTTATATTTGTTCGAATTATATTATTATAAAAAAGTATATTACTTTGTTGATGATTAATAATTTTTTAAAAAACATAATGAAATTCATTCGTACAATATGTTTTATACTCACCAAATTTGAATTCAAAACTTTATTCAAGATGACCAGATTCAATTATAGTTGTATCAATTGTTAGTGAGATTTTTCATATTTCTTTAAAAAAATAAATATTTCCCATGCATTATTTTTTTGCATCTGAATATGGAAATTAATTGCACCTAGTAGAACTCTTGTTTTCAATTTTGAACTTTCAGCAGCGTAAAATATTAAGAAAAGTTTTGTCAACGTTAATAATATTTTTATCCACTTACACATTTTTTTTAGTAAAAATATACATGTAATCTAAAAAAACATATTTTTTGAGATATTAATCTGTGAATAAGAGAAAAAATCACAATGACCACGCACAAAAAAAATATAATTATAATAAATTGAATCAAGGAAAATTTGAATAAGATGAATGAAAACCTTTTGTCGTGAAATGTTATAACATATTGATTAATTGAATTATTAGATGTGGTCCTTTGTAGTTCTCCTTAATTCTATTGAAGAGTGCAAGAAAATGTGGTGGTGTTGTGTGAAATCACAAAAGAAGAAAATAGGAGGTGTTATATTATAAATCTTAAAATTACGGAAATGTTGACAAAATCTTGATAACACTGGTGGTATTTCAAAGGTGTCTATTCGTCTGAATCCCATTCACACCTATGATTGGATTTTAACAGATTGGCCCACGCAGGCCCGCATTTAATGGACTTATTAGTTTTGGACTTTCTATAAGTACTGGTCCACGTACCTTACTTTTAGTAAAGTCTGAAAATGACTTCAAAAATATGATGTTACTAGTTTTAAAATACTTTTTTTTAATTCAATAGTTATTAAAATTTATCTATTAAATAAAAATATAAAAGTGAAATAATTCTTTTAAAATAACTTGTTTCTTTTACTTGTATTTTGAAACATTAAATAAAGATAAGAGGAGACAGATGAATTTGAAATAAAATACGATAAATTAGATTGATAGATCGATTCATTAATGCAAATATAATTTAAATTATACAAAATTTCATGTTAAGTTTTATTTATTAACTCTAAATAATATAATTTAATCGGTAAAAATAGCCAATTTTGCAATTCATTATGCAGATACATTAGTCATTAAGATTTAAAAAAGAAATAATGAAGTATTAATATCATTATTATTAAAAAAAAGTTTGGTGAACCAATGGACCGTGTGCTCTTTGACCAAAACAGGTTAAAATTTACAATTCGTGTTAATTACCGTCTAATTTCAATTTGTTTTTAATGTATTAGCAAAACGATAAAATTCAACTAATCATGTTAACATGATTTGCCATCTTTACTTAAAGTTATCCATATCAAATCAACGTTTTTACCTAATATTTTTAAGTGTCTTAATTTAACCATATTTATCAAGTAATTTTTTTTATCATATTTCAGGCAAAAAGTTAATGAGACACATAACGTGATATAGGTGATAATAATTGAAAACTAAATATAACACAATATAATTTTTAATATTAAATTACTCAACTATTATGCGTGTTTGAACTATGTTGCATTTAAAAAAACAAACAAACTGAACAATCAAAATGTCAGTAAACAACATTTAGGTAAAAGTTTGTTTCTTTAGATCAAATTTACTCGCAGTGCATCCATTTGAAGCGAAAGATGCTCCATTGATAGATCACTGAATACAAATAAAAAAGCGTAAAAATACAGTTCAAGGGGATTATACAGCAGAAAACTTCAAGAACTCCTACACCCAAAAAAAAAATTAAAAATTGACTACCTTAATGTCCATCCCCGGATTTCTTTGATATTGCAATACCATTGAAATTGAGGGAATCTGGATTTTTCTGGATCATGCTCTGGATAACTTTAGCTGAATCCTGTCGTAAATTTATATACGCGTAATTAGTAATTAGGAATAGCATAGTAGAGAAAGAAAATGCAAGATGAAAGATGGTAAACCCAGTAACTTCACACATGATCAAATAACTAGAATCCCAAGGGTTAAGAATGCCATTCAGCACAACCCTCCATATTTGACTATATGGGGCACAAAGAAAAAGGCATATACACCAATGAAGGTGATGAACCATAGTGCCAAAAAGTAGACAAATGAGTTTTTGTTGAATTTGTTGTGATGGGCAAGTAATTAACTTGAAACGAAACTTCAATTTAGTGAGAGAAAGTAAGACAGATGAGAAAAAGGATACACCAAGGAAGTATTAGCGCTCCCCTCCCAAACCCTCTCTCACACACAAATGGACAAAACCCAAACCTTATATTCATAGTGTATGTCAGTGTAAATAGGTGGTAGAAACAACATTCACAAGCTACAAGTTTGGGCTCTAACTGCACCACATTTTTATGACTTCTATAAATAATCAATAAGAACATATCTAACAGGAGATACTTATTGAAATTATTGAGTAAAATATTAGTTGTTTGAAACAATTTTTCATTAGAGTAGTATTATATGACATGATAAATGTTTAAAATTTTTTGTAAATTATTTCATCAAACAACGTATAAAAATGAATAAAAAAAAGGAAAATGAGTTGCTTAATGTTTCTTAAACAAAATGTGAATTACTTAACCATGATACGGTATAATGGAATCCATGATTTACATTTTCTAATATGAGAAGCAAGTCCTCCCATTTGCATTTCAAAAAGGGTTTCACTCAATTCATTCAATCTTTCCTCTCAATATGTTACTTTATTTATTATCATTCGTCTGTTTTGCATTATACTTGTATTTCTTCCTTAACTAGTGTCTATTTCTAAGACTACAATTAGTGTCTGATACCATCCTAGTTGACAATAAACTATGATTGACGAGATTTGTACACTACAGTCACCAACAGTGATGAATTTATTCTAAGAAATCAAATGACATCACACAAATGATAAAATCTGCCTTTCCACATTGATGGAAAAGGAGCATATGTTCAATTTCTAGCAAGAACTACATAGGGTTATAGATAAAGTCAAAGAACGTTGTTAGGAACAAAAATTTCCCTATGCGTCTGATTGTTTTAACAAAAAAAGGGGAGGAATGATACAAGGAAAGAAATTTAGGGGTATTTTCTCTGTTTAGGATGTTAAAAGTATAAAGGGAAAGAAAAGTTTATATGGGCACAACATTAAAATGTATACGACACTGATACCTTGTTTGTATCACATGACATCTCATTTCTTATTTAGAGTACTTACTAGTTAGCACTCAAAAAAAGTCTAATAAAGAGAATAGAGAATGGGAATAGATTGTGGGCGCTATAACATGACCATTGTCACAAGACCATTTTTGACATGGTGGGGACCTAGAGAATCTTTCTTTACCAAAGCTCTTGCGTCTAAACCCCTCAACAAAATGAGGTTCCAGAAAGCAAGAAGGCACACCTTTTAGAGGTATCCAATTCCTTGATGCTTCAAATAATGTTTGAATAAATATTGTGAAGAGACAGTCTTACTGCAGCTCCTCATCAATAAATTCCCATCAACCACTAGATCCTTGTACTCCTATCAGCTGCTTGGTATACTCAAGAATATTTCTTAATTATTGAAGGGGTTGCAAAATCTAATTGGCTAAATCAACTAATGCTAATAAGCTCACAAGTGGATAGGTTATATGTTATGACCCAGGAAGAGGAAATGAGAATTATGATTATGAGCACATGAGTGGGCCAATGGAGAATAGCAAGCCCAAACAAAATAGAACCACACCTAAGCTCTCTGATGACTATGATTGCACAGTTAAGAGTAGAATGAAGTAGCTGAATGGAATTTTAAGGGTGAAAGGGCAGAATAGTAGTTTCTCAAGTTGTTAGAATTTATCTTAGGCTGTTTCGTGATGTGTCCCTCTTCACCGTTGGACACTCTTTTCCTATATATATATACTGATAGTTTGCAGGAAATAATACACGAGAAAACAATCAACCCCTCTTTGTTTTTATTACTTTCTAGAGGAAGCAAAATAGGCGTTGCACTATAACACAAGCAAAAAGTATGGGGAAACCAAGTTCCATGGAGAAGCAAAATACAACCTCCATTGTGGCAAGGAGAAACACTGAAGCTAAGTTCATGGCAATCATACAATATGACAAATAATTTGGATTGAGAGTCTCTACAAGACTAAATATTCTGTAGAAAAGGTTTATGATGATCTGTAGTGACAGTTAATCAGCTACAAGCATAGTTCACAAGCCTGTCCAGCAAAACATGTCAAAAATTGATAGAAATTCTATCAAATATGAAATTGTTTTAGGGGTATCAAATTATCAATATCTTCTGTATTCCAACATGACACCATGATGCATGAGCAACGTCTGGGTTTGAATTCTTAATTGATAAGTTAGGAATGATTAATATCTATTCACCAGGTTGAGGGGAATGTTGGAGAAGATCTTGGTCATCATAGGAGGTGGCAGTTAATGTCAGTAGCTGTAAATGTGGTATATTTATCGTAATTCTTTAATTGTATCCTGATTGATGATAACTATCGTTGGTTAGGAGTAATTTCCTATCTGTTTCCACTTTACCTTCTATGATTAGGGTAGCTTTAGCTTATTTTGCATAAATTTGTATTCTCATAATCAGTGGCGGATCTTGACCATTGATCTTGGAGGGACCAAATAATATATTATTAATAAATAATAAATAAATATAAAATGAAGAAAGAAGATAAAAGGGTGAAAAGATAAAATTGTAGATATATACTTAAATATATTAAATAATCATTAAGTTTGAGGGGGACAAAATCATAAATTATATGAGAGCTACAAAACTGAGGAGGGATTGAGAAGATAAAATTGTAAATATACAAGTAACTATATTAAATGTTCATTAAGTTTGGGGGGACTAAAATCATAAATTACATAGGAGTTACAAAACTTTGGGGAGGCCACAACCCCCCTCAGCTCCTAAGAAGATCCACCATTGCTCATAATAACAATAAGTAGGATTTCTTTCTAAAGCCTCTTTGATCACTACTTTACAAACTCTATCATAAACATTTCTCCTAAAAGGTGGGTGCTCCAATGCCAGAGGCAATTACCCACACATTTGTGTTTGCTTCTTCATCCATCATTTAAGTTTAGAAGTGACAACATAATTACTAGAATTTGCAAACTAAATCAGCTCCTCTTGCTAAATACATGTTTTCAAGGAACAATAAAACTATAGGCCTAACATTGAAAGAAATTTACCTTCAACAAAGTAATTGGTGAGCATGCACCATGAGATATTGGTCCTAACTTTCTTCCATCAAGCTCATACAGTTGACCTGCATATCATATAATACAGAGAAATTAATCAGATGAACTTTTGGCAACTGCAAAAGTTGAACAACAAATTGAACTAGACATGAATAGGATCCTACATAGTTTACTTTTAGCCTTTTTATATAGCTGGTTTAGTGTTTTTGATAGAATCGCATCTTGGTATATTGTTTTGCTCTTTTTACAAAAACAACACAAACAAAATAACATTAATCCGTTATTTATATAAAGAAATTGCCATCCACACAAGCAAAGCAGATGAAATGAGTGTCCACATTATCTGATGCCTGCATTATAAACAAAAAGGTTTTAAGAGAAGAAAAAAAACAGTTTGGAAACAAACAATTTTGTTGTTGTAAGGGGAGGTGATTGTTATCTATATTCACAATACTATCCAAGTTTTGCCTCATAGTATAACAACATTAATATATGAGAACACTCTGATAGTTATATCTTTTAAAACCTCATTAAAAATTGCAAAATTATCCAACAAATGTACTATTACTATAGCACTTCATATTGATGGGTCTTAGAGTTCAGGTATATTTTCCATTCAATTTTTCCATCTACATAAAAAAAATTACATGGAAAGATAATTTAAGCATCTGTTTACATATACAACAAAAATGTTTTTCCTCCTTAATGTAGTAGCATCACCATTTTAGCCCTTTGTCCCGTATAATTTCACTTTTTTTTAATCTATCAATGAAGAAATTCGTCAGAATGAAAAAAATATTGCCTAGTACATAAATCTAAATAGTCTTTACCCCACAAGTTAAAAGATAGTTTTCAAGATTTGAACATGCAACCTCCACATCATGATCATTTGTACAAATCTCTAGTCTAAAAGGCCAAATCTAATTCCCATGACTACTTATCATAGAAGAACCCAAAAAAACCTGTTAAATGAAAATCCCTGCTCAAATATGAGTATATAAAAAAAATAATGATACCAATAAACAATTTAGATTTTCAAGATAAGAATTCTAATCCCACGACCACTCATCATAAAAGAACCTACAAATTTAAACTGTGTCATGTAAAAGTCCCTGGATAAGTATCAGTTTGTCATATCCAAAGAATAATGGTCACAACAAATAACTAATAAGATTTTCAAGATAAAAAAGCGAAACTGAATCTCTCGTCACATCACACCATACCGCCCCCCCCCCGCCCAATAATTGTTCCTTTAAATTTAATAAATAAAAGTACCACTGTATCACCAGCACTGGCTGCTACTGAATGAGCAACTTCCATGTCCTTGTCATTCTCAAGAAACACAGCCCGCTGCAAAATAAGGAAGTTAGAAAAATGTCAAATAAACATTATATTTAACTGTCTATTACTGTCATTTGTTTGCATTTGTGAAATATGAGAAAGAATTTGGGTAGGAAGAAATAAATAACCTGCAATGGATCCATGCTGGCAGTAGATTTAAAGAACTTGTCAAAAAACGATCCCTCAACTGGTAACAACAAGAGCAACACCAACTGAATGAAATGTAATGGTTGATACACTATAAACTTAAACTCAGGCTGTGTGATTGTTAGAAACCTACCAAGCTTGACTTCAGAGGTTATGTTCCCAAGTGCATGAAGCAGACCTATCGTACCGCAAGCATTACCCACGGTTTGCTTCATAAAGTACACTTTACTGCTATAATCCTACACCAGAACAAAAAAAAAATAAAAAAAAATCCTACTCAATGCATTGCAGGTGCTTAAAAGCAAGACGTGCAATTAAAAAATCAATTATATGACATGCTACCTAATATTCAGATTTATTGGACACTATCTAATAAAATACTCATTAAGCTTGAAAGACGATCCATACTTAATAAAAAATACAGTCCAAACAGAACGAGCAATGCTTTGAAGCAGGGAAAACTAATAGTCGCATAAAAATGAAAAGACTCTATAAATAGACATACCCACTCAGGAACTCACCTTTTTTCATTTTCCTGTTGCATCCTTTCTTCTTCAGTCTGATAATACAAGATAAAACTTTCACAAAGTCAGAAGCAACAGATATGAGAATGACATGACAATAGAAATGTTGTGAGTAGAAACTAACCTTTGCGGTAATAGGATAAAGAAAAAGCACGGCGAGAACTGGCTTCGGAACCATCTCCAGAAGCTCTTCATCTAAGCCAAAAACATCACAGCACTCTGCCTCCTCCACTGGAAGGCCAAGACCACAAAGGAACTGTAATTCATCCATAAACCACTTAAGTTACGCACGCTATCAAACAGAATAAAAATTGTAAATCCAAAATGAAAGCGATAAATTGTTTTACAAAATTTGTTATATATGTTCCATGAATAAACGATCATAATTGAAGGAATGGTTGAAACATTTTGCTGAATGATAGGGAAATAGGAGGAGAGAGATTGCCTGGTTCATGACGTCAGGGTTAGCTTCAAGAGGAAGCCACCTTTTGGCAGAAGGGCGTTCGTCTAAGGTGGCCATTCTAATTTCTTCCTGCTATGTTATGCTCCACTTACAAACTCACTCTCGAACATTGTGAATTGAGACTACGAATACAACATATACGGTTGAATTTGTGGGCCTGATTGGGCCTTGGCAAAGTTAATAGATGGCTGTTTCTTTGTACGCCCCACACTTTCTTCCTGCACCTCCATATTCATAAAATAACAATATTACGCTAATGTAAATAAGTTTTAGAAAGTTCATTCTGCATATTTATTTTTTTAGTTTACCTTTCTGGAGCTTTCTGAAAATGTTTGAGAATAAGCTTTTTGTAAATATATTTTAAAAAAACTTATTCTATAATGCTGTTAGAAATTTTTTAGAAAATAAATGAGTTTCGATGGATCGATTTATTAATTTATTTTAATTTTTAAATATTTAATTTATTAACTCTAATTATGTAATTTAATCCGTAAAAATATTCAATTTTGAAATTCATTAAGCAGAAACATTATTTTAGTAGTTAAGATTTAAAAAATATTTCATAATGATTTATATTTTTATTAATATTATTATTATTATTAAAAAAAAAAAGAGTTTGGTGAACCAATGGACCGTGTGCTCTTTGATCAAAACAGGTTAAAAATTACAATTCGTACTAATTACCCTCTCATTCCAATTTTTTTTAATGAATTAGAAAAAGGATAAAATTGAACTGGTCATATTAACATGTGTTACCATCTTTAGTTAGAGTTATCCATATCAAAACAACAACTACTACGTATTATTTTTTTCTTCATTTTTAATGCAATAATTTAAAGAAAGAATAATAATTTTTATTTGAGTCAAGAAATATATACAGTGAGAAATAAAATAAATTTTGTATCTATTTAAAGTTAATTTAACTTAAAACTGAAGTTTTAATTATCAGATAGTACGCATTACAACATTTATTTATTCCAAATAAATCCTTTTTGGAAATCGTAGGGATTGTGTTGGAAACTTTTTCTCTTTAAAAAAAAAACTAATTTAGTAATGATAGTTATATCTTTATATCAATATATGTGCCATGTCTTTATTATTATTATTATTATTATTATTATTATTATTATTATTATTATTATTATTATTATCAATTTGTTAAAAATCATCCTTTCATTTTTATCGTTATTGTCACTGTCCTCTTTTATTTGTTTTAAAACAAAAATTATCTCTCTCTATATATATATAAGTTTAAAATAAAATTTTAATTAATTACTAAAATTACTTTTAAAAGATTTAAAATAAATCAAATACCCTTAATTTTTTGACGTTATTAACTATTTGACCACTTTAGTTTAGGGGTGATTAAATTGTTGAATCTAACTAGTCAAACAAAACCAACCAATTAATTGGAATAATCAATTTCACTTAAAATGAAAATTTACTGGTCTTTACTAACAGAAACTAACCCAATCAATGACTAAAATCTTTTAAGGTTTTCTTTTATTATTTTTCGTTATTTTGTTTCTTATTTATCTAATATTTTCAAGTGTCTTAGTTTAATAATGTTTATCATGTAACTTTTTTTATCATATTTGAGACTCAAAGTTAATGAGACACATAATAACGTGATAGGTGATATATAATAATTGAAAACTAAATATAACACAATAATTTTTCATATTAAATTAATATATTGTTTTTAAAACACTCTTTATTATGGTTAAATTTAGTTGAAAATACCTGGGTGAATAGATTGATTTGAGAAGACTTCAAAGGTGAGTGAAAACTACGATGGTGGGTGGATGGATGTTTTAGAATACGTGTCTGGAATATTTAATATGACAATAATACATTTTTAAATTATTTTTAAAAAAATATATTTTAAAATAGGTGTTATAGAATATGATTATGAAAAAATCAATTTAAAAATATATTTTGAATTATATATTTTAAAACTCAATTTAATTTTCATAAAATTATTCCAAATCAAACATTTTAAATGTAAATATATAATTTCAGTATAAAAATATATAAAGATATATAATATTAATTATTATTTATTTTTAAATGTTAGAATCGATCTTAAATGTAAGTGATAATACAAGAAATTAAATTTAAAAAAATAATCATAAAAGTGCAAAACTTAAAAAAATAAAAATAAAAAAAGAGATTAAAATTTGAAATTTTTTATTAAAAAAGTATTTTAATTTTTTTATTTGAAGTAGGAAAGTGGAGGAAGAAAAAGTGACTAAAAGCATGAGTAGAGTGATCATGACCCTTTACAAACAAGGATTTAAGAGTAATTTTCTTACACAAATGAAGGTGACGAAAGGATTTCAACTTGTATTTGTGAGATCATGCAATTATTTATACCGTGTTTGGTTTTCAGAAAAGGAAGTAAACTAACAAATATAACTTATGCGTCTCTTTGATTAATTGGGCATAATTTGCCACGTTCACACCATATTTTTAAATCAGTTCTTTATACTGTATCCAACTTCATAGCTTGTTGATTCTTGCACTTTATAATTAAATTAAATTTTATTTTATTTTTATATTTATCTTGTTTTTTATTAATATTTATTTTTTATTTTATTTAATAACTGATTTTTAATTTCTATGGTAACATTTTCATTTTTTTCTTTAAAAAATTATAAGAAACATGTAAAAATATGGAACTTTTTTTATTTTATATCAAATTTTTACATATACATTATTCATGCAACAATTTTTTTTTAGAAACACATTATAGGAATTGAGAAAACTGGATATTTTTCTCAAAAAACATGTTTTGGGAAGTGTTTTCTAAAATACATTACCAAACTTAATTTTTTTTAAATACATTCGAGATTGATGGATTTTGAATACATTTTTCGATTTGTAGATCCGGAATACACTTCCTAGTTTTTTTTAAAATAAAAAGGGCTTTTCCCAATGTATTTCTAGAAAATTAATTCTGAAAATTTATTTCATAACACATTTTTCATAATATACTTTTGAAATTGATTTTTCAGACATACATCCCAAAAAGTGAGTTCTAGAATACATTTTTGAAATTGATTTTCAAAAAGCACTTTCCTGAATGTATTTTTGAAATTAATTTTCTGAAAATGCATTTTAGATCAATCTTTCCAGAATTGATTTCTAGAAATACATTTAACCCTCCATAACAAGTATTTCGAAATAGGTGTTCCGGAATGCCTTTTTAGAAAAATAATTCCAGATTAAGTGTTTTGAAATTTAATCTCATTTTTGCGACACTTCTTTAGATTAAACCATTTAGATATGTTTATACAATTTAAGTGTAGGAACATGTAATTCATATATAATATTAATGATTATTTATCTTTAATTGTTATAAAAGGTCTTCAATGGAAGTAATAACACAAAAAAAATTCAAATAACCAAGAGATAGAGGTGAAGAAGTTGTACACAAATAAAATAAGAAGATAAATTAAAAAACAAAATTATGGGAAGAATATTTTAAGTATATGAGTTAAGGTATATAAGTGCATGTAGCAATTATAGGAATGCAAGAAGCAAAAGACAACTTCATCTAGTCCATTGCCATGCCATATATATAACCTCATGATGTATTTATATAGATTACCATCGTTTTCCTTCACCATAACTAAAATTTAAAAAATTTATTATGAGATTAAGAATTTCCATTTGATTATTGATTTTTTTGTATGCTTAGGTAGTTAGACTAATTGCTTTTACTTAATTTGACTTTATTTTGTTGTTTATTTACCTCTCCTTTTGTTTTACCTTTTTCCCCCTCCTGAACTTGTTATTTGTTTTCAACCATCTTAAATAATGGGAAATTGCTTTTTCACCTCCATAATTACTTATTTACCTCTCTCATTGTAGTATAATGACAAAACCTTTTGAACTCTTGCAATTCCCAAAAAATGTTATCCAATAAAAAGTTTCTACATTACACATTCCGGAGGCATTCTAAAAAATAAATTAAGAAATAAAGACATTCACTTTTGAAGGTGTAACTCAAAATTATTTTGCAGACAATGAATTTGGAAAACTTCAGATAAATTAAACCAATTTCTTATTTAAAATATATTTTAAATTATTCCAGAAAACTTTCTACATTAATATATTTTATTAAGAAATGTTCAGGAATGAAAAATCAGTATCAATTGATAAATGAATCCAGATTGCACATTCCAAAATTTTCAAGAGTATGTCTGCAATGCATAATAAAAAGCGTTTTAATACGTAGTATTTTCTTAAAACTATACAAATTTTATAAGGTTATTTTATAATTCTACTATAATTGGAAGATGCATGAAGCAATTATGAAGTTGCAAAAGAAAAAAAGCCTTAAAAGTTAGCAGGTTTCCACCCCTTATTTTAGAGCCAGAACAATTTATTTTACCATCATATTTTCAAAATTTGTCTTAACATTTATTGCATAAGCATAACTATTATGCGTGTTTGAAATATGTTGGATTTAAAAAAACAAACAAACTGAACAATCAATATGTCAGCAAACAACTTTTAGGTAAAAGTTTGTTTCTTTAGATCAAATTTACTCGCAGTGCATCCATTTGAAGCGAAAGATGCTCAATTTGATTGGTCACTGAATACAAATAAAAAACCGAGCGTAAAAAACAGGTCAAGTGACTAAAGCTGCAGGATGCCTGGGGATTATACAGCAGAAAACTTCAATGCTACACCCAAAAAAAATAAAATAAAAAATTGACTACCTTAATGCCCATCCCCGGATTTCTTTGATATTGCAATAACATTGAAGTTGAGGGAATCTGGATTTTTCTGGATCATGCTCTGGATAACTTTAGCTGAATCCTGTCGTAAATTTATATACGCGTAATTGGTAATTAGAAATAGCATAGTAGAGAAAGAAAATGCAAGATGAAAGATAGTAATCCCAATAACTTCACACATGATCAAATAACTAGGACCCCAAGGGTTAAGAATGCCATTCAGCACAACCCTCCATATTTGACTATATGGGGCACAAAGAAAAAGGCATATCCACCGATGAAGGTGATGAACCATAGTGCCAAAATGTAGGCAAATAAGTTTTTGTTGAATTTGATGTGATGGGCAAGTAATTAACTTGAAATGAAACTTCAATTTAGTGAGAGAAAGTAAGACAGATGAGAAAAAAGATACATCAAGGAAGCATTAGCACTCCCCTCCCAAACCCTCTCTCGCACACAAATGGACAAAACCCAAACCTTGTATTCATAGTGTATGTCAGTGTAAATAAATAGGTGGTAGAAACAACATTCACAAGCTACAAGTTTGGGCTCTAGCTGCACCACATTTTTATGACTTCTATAAATAATCAATAAGAACATCTCTAATAGGAGATACTTATTGAAATTATTGAGTACAATATTAGTTGTTTGAAACAATTTTTCATTAGAGTAGTATTTGAAAGTGATCCTAGCAAAGATCTCATTGATTTGATGAAGTCAAAGATAAAGTCAAAGGTCAACTCTGCAACAGTCAAACAAGTCACTCAGAACAAAGGAGCTGAAGACTTAGTGTGTCTAAACAGAAAGCTTAGGTAAAACCACTTTACCTTTTCCACTGCATAAAGCTTCTTCACTCAATTTGCAAAATGCCTCAAAAATAGTTTTAAACAAATCAAACAAAAACATTTTGGCAAAGAATTTTCTTAAACAAGTTATTAACTGATACAGTTTTGAAAGAATCAATTTAAAACACTTAGAATGTTTTAAAAAGTGTTTTTACAATATTTTAATCGATACAAACTTCTTTTAATCGATTAAAACTCTTTATGACCGATTAGAATTCGAATATAATAGGTCAGAATGCAATATAATCGATCAGATCTTAAATATGAGCAATCGAATTATTTTAATCGATTGAAACACGTTTCAATCGATTAAAATCACTTTGGATGTCAGGATGATCGATCAGAATGAGATTATGACCGATCGAGTTGGATATGATCGATCAAATTGAATTATGACCGATCAGACTTATTTCAATCGATTAAAGCGTATTTCAATCGATTAAAATAACTTAGAAAATCTTTTCAATCGATTAAAACGAACTTTCAATCGATTAAAATGACTTGAAAATATATGTGCAGTTTTTCAATCGATTGAAACGACTTTATATCGACTAAAATAACTTGGAAAGTTTTATAAGAAGGTTTTTAAACAAATCAATCGATTAATACGCGATTCAATCGATTGTTTTATACTTAGAAAATGTTTGTAAAGCGTTTTAAGCTGATAAAAACGTGGTCGTATCAACTAAAACATTTTCGTTAAAGATCAAGAACGCATTAATGGGTTGAAAGGACTTTTAACAGATTGTAACGACTATTTCAACTGATTAAAACAAACTTTCAACAGATTAATTAATGCAGTAGATTTGAAAATACTCTTTTATAAACAGAATTGCTTAGAACTTTTAAAATATCAGATTTGACACAATTCAAGCAATCAATACAAACAACTATTAGCATTTTTCAAGAAAGATACACAACTGTTTTTGTGAACTTCTTTTGAAATCTTTATTGAGGCACTTTGCATTTCTTTGAAGAAGAAACTGACTGTGGATTGGTGTAATCCGGTTTGAGCTTTCTTTGTTTCTTCTTTTAAATTTCTATTCATTCATTTGTACTTGTTTTGTACCTGGAATTTGGGTACAAGTTTTCTGCATAGTTGTTGTAGAAAGTTGCCAAGAAGCTGGAATTTGGTTCTTGGTGGAAAGGTTAAAGCAAGAGCTGGAATTTGGTTCTTGTGTGTGGTGCCTGGAATTTGGGCACTTGGTTTCTCTGCTAGCTGGAATTTGGTTGCAGAGGTTTCCAAGAACTGGAATTTGGTTCTTGGTGGAAAGGTTAAAGCAAGAGCTGGAATTTGGTTCTTGTGTGTGGTGCCTGGAATTTGGGCACTTGGTTTCTCTGCATGCTGGAATTTGGTTGCGAGAGGTTTCCAAGAGCTGGAATTTGGTTCTTGGTGGAGAGTTTGAATAGGTGTAAGAGTGTGAGTCTCAGTAAAACATCTATTCTAGTGGAACCCAATTGGAATTTGGCTGGAGACTGGACGTAGCCACTGGTTGTGGGTGAAGCGAGTATAAAATTACAGGTGAAATCTTTCCTAACCTTTCTCTCTTTAATTTCGCTGCTGCACTTAAACTGTTTGATTGCTTTGTGATTTGTGAATTGATAAGTAATCTTAATTTTCGGATTAGATAATCTGTGTATTGCGAAAAACTTTCAAAAATCAATTCACCCCCCTCTTGATTTAAAACTACTTTTCTAACAATTGGCATCGAGCAAGGTGCTTGAAAATTATTCAAGTCTCTTGATCCATGGTCGAAAACAGTTACCGATTTTCGAGGGGGCATCTATTAACGGACCTCCACTATTACAGTGGAGCAGATTATCCTTTACGGAAAATTAGGATGAAAATCTTCATTGAATCCATTGACGAAATGCTTGGGATGTTATTACTAATGGTCCTCTAATTACGGATAAAGGATGGTCAAGCTTGAATGATGAGGAGAAGAAGAAAGTTCAAAGTGATCTGCAATGCAAAAAATATAATTACTTACGCTCTTAACATGGATGAATTTTTCGAGGTGTCCCGAGTGCAATTCCGCTAAGGAGATGTGGGATGTTCTTGAAGTCACTCATGAAGGGACTACGAGATGTTAAAAGAGCCGAGAAAGCATACATTGATAAGAGAATATGAAGTCTGTTCAAAATGCAGAATGGTGAAAGCATCGCGAGATGTGCGAAACGCTTCACTCACATCATCAACCATCTAATGGGCCTAGGTAAGACCTTTGATAAGGAAGAATTAAATATTAAAGTGTTGAAATGTCTTGACGAGTCCTGGCAACCGAAAGTCACTGCAATATCGGAATCAAAAGATCTGTCCACCATGACAACAACCTCACTCTGTTTGGAAAACTTAGAGAACATGAAATGGAAATCACAAGATTCAATGAGCAAGAAGTCTACGAGAAGAAGAACGAAGCATTGCACTTAAAGTTGAAGAAAATCAAGAATCGAGAAGAAGATAATGAGAACCTTGGACTCGCTTGTTAGGAAATTCAACAAATTCCTCAAGAAAAAGATCCAAGACAAGGAAAGACACAAAAGGTATGAGAAAAGAAGCTGATTCTTCTAACTTTAAATGTTATGGTTGTGGCAAACAGGGCCATGTTAGAATGGAATGTCCAGAGAGAAATAAACAAAGTGAAAAGAAAGAGGAAAAATAAAAAAGAAGAGCCTACATAGCCTGGGATGATAATGATACGTCATCAACAGATAACTCGAAAATGAAGAAGCCAATCTTTGTTTAATGGCGAGTCAAAATCCACAAACCAGCCAGGTAAGTTCTAGCTCCTCTTCAAATGTAGTTAACTATGATGCATTACAAGAAGCATTTAATGAAATGCATGAAGAGGCTAAGAAACTTCAAAAAGAAAATGATAGGCTGAAAGGGCTAAATAACTGGCTAGTTAACAAGGTTGATTCTCCGGAAAAAGCAGATTAGTGAAAATGAAGCCGATAATGAATTCTTGAAGCTGATTCATGATAACTCGATTGTAAATGCAATAAACCATGCAAAAGCTGTTACGAATTGCAAAAGAAAATTGAATTCTTATCTCAAAGCTGTTTCAAAGTTCACTCGGGGGCAAGCCAATCTAGATGTATTACTTGGATCTCAAAAATTAATTTTTGACAAATCTGGAATAGGATTTAAATCTAGATCCGAGTAAAACAAAAATAAATAGGAATTCATACTCTACAATCAAATGTTTCTACTTGTATGAAAAAAGGACATTCGAGTAAAATACTGCAGAATTAAAAAGTATGCTATTCCTAAAGGGAGAATGAAATGGGTTCCAAAGATTAATTCTTTTCAAATAACATGATCAGGACCCAATAATTATAAAGGGTACGAGAAAAATACTTAATTATTTTGCGGGAACAAGTCTGGAAATCCCTTGAAGATCGAAGCTGCGAAACCAGGTTACGTGTATTTAAATTAATTGTTTTAATTGATATAAACCAATATTAATCGATTGAAATAACTTACCAGTACCATATTAATCGATTGAAATATCGAAATAATCGATTAAATTGTTCTCAGAATGTTGGTTTAGTCGTTTTAATCGATTAGAATAAATTTATATCAACTAAAAACACTTAGGATCAAAATTAATCGATTCATTTACGTTTTAATCGATTTAAATACTTGGTGATATTTTTTTATTACATTACGTACCATACAAATCGATTCTTTCATAAAACAATCGATTAATTCACTGTAGATGTTTACATTTCTCTTAATACTTTACATGGAATGATGCATGGTAATACACTGAAAATCAAAGAAATTATCAAAGAATGGACTGTAACTTTTCTTATAGACACTAGTTACAAACGAGTCAAACTGTTAGGATCTGAAAACATAGTTTATCATAGATTTTTTCAGTGATAGTTGATTCTGGTAATAAATTGTTGATTACTTAAGAAGTTCAATGAACAAATGTTTACATTAGATTTCTTGATATTACCTAGCAATATTTCGAAATAATCTTGAGCATGCATTGGTTCAAAACTCTTGGTGAAATTCATTGAAGCTGTGCAACCTCGATAATTTGCTTTAATCATCAATGTCACGAGGTGACAACTGTAGGGAACCAATCTGGGACAGCAATTCAAAAATTGAATAACGTGAGTACAGGGAATGTATGTTTTATGGTCGATACTGAGGATAAATTTTATATTGTTTTAGAATTCGGATTGATTGTCATCACTGTCCTCATTACTAATCATTGCCCACTCTACCAGAATAAGTTTTTTTATCACTTGTGCATATGATACCACTGAAAACAACAAAGTTAAAAATGACTCATTCTTCAAAAGATAATGATGACTGGTTCACTATAAGTGAGAATAACACCCATCATACTACATTAATAAAAATACAGTTATTTGCTTGGATGATGATAACTGCAAGGTTTGAAATAGGTTAGCCATTTTGGAAGGAAATTCCGATCTCAGTACATCATTAACCTGTGATTCATGCAATTTATGGTATCATGCACTCGTGTGGAATCTGATAGTGAATGTACGTACGTCGAGTACATGATTACGCCTCGGATGTGTAATAGTTGATGTTCCTAAAGAAACATTTAATTCCATTGAGTGTCAACCATGGTACTGTAATGCAGTCAATAGTAACGATAAGCTGCTAAAAGATTTCTTTTCGGGAAAAATTTTACGTGTGCATCTAGCGATACTGAGTGACAACGAGTTGTTGACTCAAATAGTTGATAGAGCAAAATTGGTTCCAAGCAAAAGGAAAGCCTATTATCTTTTGATATTGGTGGGGATCAAATGAATGATCACCAAGTCTGGTGGATAAGCGGTTCAATCAGGGAAATTGGGATGACTAGTTCCCCTCATCATCTTTATCTTACTGCTTATTTCTATCTTTATATTGTTTGCATGGATTGTGATATTAGCTGGTGTTATACCAGGAACATTTGCCTTAATCTTTGGTTAAATATGGTTTAGGATCTAATCTAGATCAGATCTGGCGTAAAAAAGAATTTAAATAGATCCCTGAGAACTTTAGCTAAATAAGATTTTATTCGATAGATCTATTAGCTAAGATTTAATCAATATAGTTGTTAGTATTGTTAAAACATCCTTCTAAATGATCAGTTTTACAAAATATGCATTAAACATTACTTCATTTTCAAAGCTGATTGTTTTAATCAATACAACATCTTGTTAATCGATTAAATGAACTTATACAACATGTTTTAATCGATTCAAAATCGAAATAATCAATTATTTTTACTAAAGTTTCATGTTTTCAAAATCTTAAATGTTTTAATCGATTACACTTTTTTTCAAATCGATTAAAATCATTTACCAAGAACATTTTAACTGATTATGCTCTGTTTTTAATCGATTTTTATTCGGGAAGAAAGATTAAAGGCTTTAGTTAATGGTCTGTTTACGTAAACATGCTACTAAAGCGTGATTCCCTTATCTTTACACGTGTTAATTGTATTCATTACAAACGTGTTAATGGAGATAAGTTTGAATCAACTTTAATTGATTCTTTTCATGAGTGAAGTATTGATTCACTTTGTTTTTTCAAAAACTTGAGCATATTTTTCGAAACCTTACATTTTATTCTTTTCTCTTCTGTTTCCCTAATTTTGATGAAGTCAAAAGGGGAGAAATAGTTGCATCACTTTAAGATAAATTTACGTGCAACATTTTAGGGGAGAAATAAGTTTTAGGGGAGAAACAAAACTTTATTACATTCTTATATTTCTCACCTAACTGCATTATCAAGTGACTTATTTTGCAGAGATTGTTTTTTCAAAATGGTGTTTGTCTTCATCAAATAGGGGAGACTGAAAGTGATCCTAGCAAAGATCTCATTGATTTGATGAAGTCAAAGATAAAGTCAAAGGTCAACTCTGCAGCGATCAAACAAGTCACTCGGAACAAAGGAGCTGAAGACTTAGTGTGTCTAAACGAAAGCTTAGGTAAAACCACTTTACCTTTTCCACTTGCATAAAGCTTCTTCACTCAATTTGCAAAATGCCTCAAAAATAGTTTTAAACAAATCAAACAAAAGCATTTTGGCAAAGAATTTTCTTAAACAAGTTATTAAGCTGATACTAGTTTTGAAAGAATCAATTTAAAACACTTAGAATGTTTTAAAAAGTGTTTTTACAATATTTTAATCGATACAAACTTCTTTTAATCGATTAAAACTCTTTATAATCGATTAGAATTCGAATATAATAGATCAGAATGCAATATAATCGATCAGATCTTAAATATGAGCGATCAGAATTATTTTAATCGATTAAAACATGTTTCAATCGATTAAAATCACTTTGGATGTCAGGATGATCGATCAGAATGAGATTATGACCGATCAGAGTTGGATATGATCGATCAGAATTGAATTATGACCGATCAGACTTATTTCAATCGATTAAAACGTATTTCAATCGATTAAAATAACTTAGAAAATCTTTTCAATCGATTAAAACGAACTTTCAATCAATTAAAATGACTTGAAAATATATGTGCAGTTTTTCAATCGATTGAAACGACTTTATATCAGCTAAAATAACTTGGAAAGTTTTATAAGAAGGTTTTTAAACAAATCAATCGATTAATACGCGATTCAATCGATTGTTTTATACTTAGAAAATGTTTGTAAAACGTTTTAAGCTGATAAAAACGTGGTCGTATCAACTAAAACATTTTACGTTAAAGATCAAGAACGCATTAATAGGTTGAAAGGACTTTTAACATGATTGTAGCGGCTATTTCAATGATTAAAACAAACTTTCAACAGATTAATTAATGCAGTGATTTGAAAATACTCTTTTATAAACGAAATTGCTTGGAACTTTTAAAATATCGGATTTGACACAATTCAAGCAATCAATACAAACAACTATTAGCATTTTTCAAGAAAGATACACAATCTGTTTTTGTGAACTTCTTTTGAAATCTTTCTTGAGGCACTTTGCATTTCTTTGAAGAAGAAACTGATCGTGGATTGGTGTAATCCGGTTTGAGCTTTCTTTGTTTCTTCTTTTAAATTTCTATTCATTCATTTGTACTTGTTTTGTACCTGGAATTTGGGTACAAGTTTTCTGCAATTGTTGTAGAAAGTTGCCAAGAAGCTGGAATTTGGTTCTTGGTGGAAAGGTTAAAGCAAGAGCTGGAATTTGGTTCTTGTGTGTGGTGCCTGGAATTTGGGCACTTGGTTTCTCTGCTAGCTGGAATTTGGTTGCAGAGGTTTCCAAGAACTGGAATTTGGTTCTTGGTGGAAAGGTTAAAGCAAGAGCTGGAATTTGGTTCTTGTGTGTGGTGCCTGGAATTTGGACACTTGGTTTCTCTGCTGGCTGGAATTTGGTTGCAGAGGTTTCCAAGAGCTGAAATTTGGTTCTTGGTGGAGAGTTAGAATAGGTGTAAGAGTGTGAGTCTGTAAAACATCTATTCTAGTGGAACCCAGCTGGAATTTGGCTGGAGACTGGACGTAGCCCTGGTTGTGGGTGAACCAGTATAAAATTACCGGTGAAATCTTTCCTAACCTTTCTCTCTTTAATTTCTGCTGCTGCACTTAAACTGTTTGATTGCTTTGTGATTTGTGAATTGATAAGTAATCTTAATTTTCGGATTAGATAATCTGTGTATTGCGAAAAACTTTCAAAAATCAATTCACCCCCCTCTTGATTTAAAACTACTTTTCTAACAGTATTATATGACATGATAAGTTGTTTAAAAAATTTTGTAAGTTATTTCATCAAACAACTTATAAAAATGAAGAGAAAAAAAAGAAAAAGAAAATGAGTGAAGAAAATGAGTTGCTTAATGTTTCTTAAACAAAATATGAGTTACTTAACCATGATACGGAATAGTGGAATCCATGTTTTACATTTCCTAATATGAGAAGTAAGTCATGAGTTGTTCCGAATGGAGATGTCCTAAACTCCCTCTAAAACAAAATCCTCTATAAGACAAATTCCCCCCAACTAATATACATGACAATGGTGGTGATAAATGTATCTCACCACTTTGAGAAAAATGGCGGCAGGCTGGCAGCTGTTGCATTGCTAGGAAGAATAACGAAGTGACATTCTTACCCCTCCCCATTGGTTACTCTGCCTCACTTTGGACCTTGTCACACTTTAGTTGTCTTCTAAAGTTTTCAAACTCTGAAACCTCTGAACTAAGTATTTCTATAATGTATTTGAAAGTTGGCCTTGTTATCCCACAACCACATCAACTTTTCTTTAATGAAATGAGAGTGAACCTCTATGTGCTTTGTCATGACATGAAACACCAGATTTTCTACTGAAAAAATTGTCAACTAATTATGGTCATATAACTCCAACCCATAGGCAGCCAGTCGATCTAGATCTCATAGTAGTTGTGCTAGCCCACATGCACACTTATAAAAAGAATGTGAAATAACATAATTATGGTTAACTAAATGTTTACATTACTATGTAATGGGAACTAGGGTAATAGTAAATCCTTATCTTAATAACTCTAGGCACGCAAAAAAATCTACGCTGTGTATTTCAAAAACATGGATTCCATCATATCTCTTATTTCTCTCCTCTCTTAACATGGCATCAAAGCAAGGAATTAGAGAAGGAACTTGCATAGTAAAGAGAGCGAATCAGACAACAATTACTACAACACACCAATGTGGAGTTCTTGACCGTTTTGTTGGTTATGTGTTGTTCCTACTACTTGTATCTTATCAACAAGATGCTTTATTCTATTATTCACAACAAATAGCTCTATTTTATTCTCTTACTAGTCACCCCACACCGTCCTTTAAGTTTTGTGCTGACATATTTTATACATAAGCGTAATCAAGGGCTTGATAAACTCTTATATCACTCTCACAAGTGTATTCCTTGGTTATATTTGGTCTTGAATGGGTTAGAAATGTTACTCCTCAACCCTTTATCAGTTTGCAGTTACCTAGTCTAAGTGTGTTCCTTCATTAGCTTCCATGTTATCTACTCGAGTCTGTCTCTACTACCTTACCTCTTCCTCCTATGTTTATTAACTTTCACCAACCAACGATGTGTCGGTTTAGATGATCCACCTTCTCCTACCTTCTATGGCATAATTGGCATTATCATCAATGGGGTTGTTAAAAAAAAACAGTACTAGATCCAAACCAATCCAAACTGCACTAGAAAAGTTGAACTTTGAAAAAAAAAAAATTGAATTGAATTGAATTATTTTTTAGTTCAGTATTTAAAAACCAAAAATGCCCCTAAGTTGAATTGCTTTGAATTGAACTGCAACTTAAGAGATAGAGAAAGTGAAAAATATGCTTCAAAACAAGATGTCCACTTCGAAATAGTTCCAACAATTCAAGCAATTCAATTCGTTTGAACAGTTATATGGTTCAATTAAGTTCATCTGATCTATCATGCAGTTTGGTTTAGATCAGCCAAACTGCATTTACAATTTAATTCAATTTTACAACAGTTCAGTTTGTTTTGTCGCTTCATCTTTTTTGCCCACCCCTAATCAGTGGCAAGCCTCCACCATTTTACCTCCACCCGCTGATGATGAATTCAATATGCAATCTTCTCTAAAGCCAACTTCTTCACCTATTTGCCTTTTAAGATTGATCTCCCATTTGCATTTCAAAAAGGGTTTCGCTTAATTCAATCTTTCTCCTCATTATGTTACTTTAGTTATTATCATTCATTTGTTTCGCATTATACTTGTCTTTCTTCCATAACTAGTGTCTATTTCGAAGACTACAAGTAGTGTCTGATACCATCCTAGTTGACAATAAACTATGATTGACGGGATGTGTACACCATAGCCACCAAAAGTGATGAGTTTATTCTAAGAAATCAAATGACGTCACACTAATGATAAAATCTGCCTTTCCAAAATGATGGAAAAGAAGCATATGTTCAATTTCTAGCAAGAACTACATAGGGTTATAGATAAAGTCAAAGAACGTTGTCAGGAGCAAAAAATTTCCCTATGCGTTTGATTCTTTTAACAAAAAAAAAGGGGAGGAATGATACAAGGAAAGAAATTTAGGGGTATTTTCTCTGTTTAGGATGTTAAAAGTAAAAGGGAAAGAAAACTTGATATGGGCACAACATTAAAAGGTGGTTCTTAACCATATGCAAAGATAAGGGAAGGATGAGAGATTAAAATGTATACGACACTGATAACCTTGTTTGTATCACATGACATCTCATTTCTTATTTAGAGTACTTATGTCATTTTACACACATTTTCCCTTTCCTTTCATTTTCTCCCCTACCAACTAACCTAAAAAATCATTTCCCTTCCTACTACTTTTCCTTACTTCCATTTTGTGGATGTTATAAGAGAGAAGAAAATGGGTAATGCCCTATCTTCCCTGCTAGACCAGATACAACTTCTCCAAGTTTTGTACTTACTAGTTAGTAGTTATCGCTCAAAAAAAGTCTAATAAATAGAATAGAGAATGGGAATAGATTGTGGGCGCCATAACATGACCATTGTCACAAGACCATATTTGACATGGTGGGGACCTAGAGAATCTTTCTTTACCAAAGCTCTTGCATCTACACCACTTAACAAAATTAGGTTCCATAAAGCAAGAAGGCACATCTTTTAGAGGTATCCCATTCCTTGATGCTTCAAATAATAAATATAAGTGAAGAAACAGTCTTACTGCAACTCCTCATCAGTAAATTCCCATCAACCACTAGATCCTTGTACTCCTATCAGCTGCTTGCTATACTCAAGAATATTTCTTAATTATTGAAGGGTTTGCAAAATCGAATTGGCTAGATTAACTAATGCTAATAAGCTCGCAAGTGGATAGGCTATATGTTATGACCCAGGAAGAGGAAACAGAGAATTATGATTATGAGCACATGAGTAGGCCAAATGGAGAAGAGCAAGTCCAAACGCAATAGAACCACACCTATGCTCTTTGATGACTATGATTGCTCGGTTAAGGGCAGAATGAAGTAGCTGAATGGAAGGGCATAATGGTAATTTCTCAAGTTGTTAGGATTTATCTTGTTTGCTTTGCTGTTTTGTGACGTGTCCCTCTTGACCGTTTAATACAGAAACAAATTTCAAGAGTAAATAAGCGCAAACAAATGATAAAAAAAAACAGGGTAACTTTGTATTGATTATAAAAAGGAAAACTACTTTAGAGAAAAATCCTCTAAAGTCCCATAGCCAAACTCCGAATAGAGAAACACTATTCCTCTACCTTAGGCATAGCCAAAATACTCTCCCCCCACTGATTCATGATGGTATAAACAAAAAGGTAATAACAGAAAGAAACATTCATTCTCTCTCCTCCAACAAACTCTCAATACCCATTCTTCCTAATTTGCCCTCTTCTTCCTTCGAGTGTAGACAATCAATTCCTTTGGGCCTTTTGTTGATATATTTGCTAAAAACTTTTGCGGCCCAATGTTCTCCTGAACCTTATTAATGCCATCCCCTATAAGAAATTGCTTGTCCTCAAGCTTCAGTTCTGGGAATTGGCTTCTCAGAATCAACTCATCCTCCCAGGTAGCTTCTTCACTTGATTTTCCCTTCCAACTCACCAACCATTGCGTCACCCTCCTTCCTCCCTTAGAGGTCTTCCTCACAGCTAGCACAACTCACCAAATTGAGAGGTAATTCAGCTTCTACTGAGTGAGTTCCATGTGCCTTCTTCAATAGTGACACATGAAAAACTGGGTGAATCCTTGATGATGATGGCAACTTCAAACGATATGCAACCTCCCCAATCTTTTCTAAGATCTCAAATGGACCATAATAACGGGCACAAAGCTTAGGGTTGATTCTAGCAACTACTGATGACTGCCTGTGAGGTCTTAGTTTGAGAAAGACCATGTCTCCTACTTCAAAACTCCTTTCTTTCCTGTGCTTATTAGCTTGGTTCTTCATCCGATCCCTTGCCCTCTCCAAATGGTACTTTAGTTGTTTAATTGCCTCATCACGATCCCGTAAATCCTCTTGCACAGCTTCCACCCTTATTTCACCAGGAACACTCTGCACCAACATTGGAGGCTTACGTCCATAAACTGCTTCAAATGGTGTAGTACCAATTGACTCATGGTAAGTGGTATTGAACCAATATTCTGCCCAAGGTAACCACATAACCCAACTCTTAGGTTGGTCAGAAATGAAGCACCTGAGGTATGTTTCTAAGCAACGGTTAGTCACCTCGGTTTGACCATCCGTCTGTGGATGGTAAGCCGTACTCATCTTTAACATTGTGCCTTGCATCCTGAAAAACTCTTTCCAAAATACACTCATAAATAATGGATCTCTATCACTGACAATAGACATAGGAATTCCATGCAAACGCACCACTTCCCTCACAAAGATTTCAGCTAGGGACCTGGTCGTATATGGATGCTTAAACGGAATGAAACGATTGTACTTAGATAATCTATCAACTACTACCAAAATAGCTTCGTAGCCTTTGGATCTAGGCAGGTCAGTAATGAAATCAAGGGATATATCTTCCCATATCCGCTCAGGAATAGGAAGTGGTTGCAACAATCCCCCTGGGGCAGAAGTAAGATATTTTTGACGTTGACACACATCACAATCCTGAACAAATTTCATTATATCTTTTCTCATTCCTACCCAAAACAAGTTTGTAGCTACACGTCTATACATTCGAAAGAACCCAGAATGCCCACCCTGTGGGGTTGCATGGAACTCTTGCATTAATCTAGGAATCCAATCAGACTTGTTAGGGACCACTAACCTGTTCTTATAACACAGGACTCCATGCTTATAAGTAAATCCACTTTTCTCACACTGCCCCTGTTGTAATTCCTCTATGTTTTTCTTCCACAATTCATCTCCATGAACTTCAACGACTATCTCCTGCCAATCTAACCAGATAGGCATGTAAACCATTGAAGACAACTCTCCCATACTCCTTAACAGCGCATCTGCCCCTTTATTTTCCAACCCGAGTTTATATATAATTTCAAAATTGTACCCCAATAATTTGGCCAACCAGTTCTGATGACTTCCAGTAGTTACCCTTTGTTGTAACAACTGTTTCAGACTCTTTTGATCTGAATAAACTACAAACTTCCTTCCTAAAAGGTATGGTCGCCAATGTTGAATAGCTAAAGCTATTGCCATCAGCTCTTTTTCATAGGCAGACTTAGCTAAATTTTTACTCCCCAACGCCTTACTATAGTAAGCTATTGGTTTACGATTCTGCATCAACATAGCTCCAATTCCCATACCTGATGTGTCACACTCCAACTCAAACTCCTTGTCAAAATTAGGTAAGGTCAAAACAGGTGTTGTTGTAATTCTCCTTTTTAACTCCTCAAATGCTGTCTGAGCCTTTTCATTCCACCCAAATCCTTCTTTCTTCGTTAATTTTGTCAAAGGTTTCTCCACCTTTCCATAATCTTTAATAAATTTCCTATAGTAACCTGTTATTCCCAAGAAACCACGGACACCTTTTACATTTGATGGAATAGGCCATTTAACAATACTCTTGACCTTGTCTGGATCCACCTCCACCCCTTGCTATGTTATAACATGTCCTAGATAACCAATGCTCTCATGACCAAAACTACATTTTTCCATATTTGCATAAAGTTGTTGTTGCCTCAAAATTTCCAAAACAACTTTTAGTTCTCTCATATGCTTCTCCCAACTTTCATTATATACAAGTATATCATAAAAAAATACTAACACTCCACGCCTTAATAAACCACGAAATACCTCATTCATAAGAGATTGGAATGTAGCAGGAGCGTTCATTAAACCGAAGGGCATGACTAAGTACTCATAATGCCCTTCGTGTGTTCTAAACGCTGTCTTTGGGATGTCTTCAATCTTCATCCTCACTTGGTGATACCCAGATCGAAGATCCAATTTGGAGAAGTATTTTGCCCCATTCAACTCATCCAAAAGTTCTTCTATCACTGGGATCAGGAATTTATCTGGCACAGTTGCTTTGTTCAATGCGCGATAGTCCACACACACCCTCCATTTATTATTTTTCTTCTTAACCAAGATGACAGGACTTGAGTACTCACTTTGACTATGCCTTATCCACCCATTCTCCAATAGTTCTTTCACCTACCTCTCAATTTCATTTTTCTGATGATACAGGTACCTATAAGGTCTAACATTAACTGATGCTTCCCGTGGTTTTAATATAATTGCATGTTCCTTTACCCTCACTGGCGGGAGTCCTCTTGGCTCTTGAAAAACATCATCAAAATTCTTTAGAATCTCCTGAAGTTCCAACTGTTTTGTCAGGTCCACCCCACATAATTTTTGTTCACTCTCTTCATTCAAGATTCTTTGAAGAGAGGTAAGTAAAGGTTCCTCATCAGAAATTCCCTTCAGTGTCTTTAAATTTCCCCCTTCTTCAAATTTCATCACTTTCTTGGCCCAATCAATCTTCATTTCCTCCAAAGAACGTAACCAAGACATACCCAAAACGACATCAATATCTCCTAATTCAAAAAGAATGACATCAATAGTGAAACTCCCAACCTCTGTTTCTACTTGAATATTTTGACACATACCACTAGCTTCAACATTGTGACCGTCCCCCATTAAAATTCTCATCGTTTTAGTAGACTCCCACTCCCAACCAAGAGCTTCCACCAACCTCTTTGAAAGAAAATTATGGGTCGCGCCACTATCAACCAACAATAAAATAGGGATGCCATCAACCGTTCCTCTGAGTTTCAACGTGCTAGGAAAATCTATTCGGTTGGTGTCCAAACCTGTTAGAGCCAAAACACTGCACTCACCCTCCAAAATGACATATTCATCCTTGTTCTCGTCGTCATCACAACCTTTTTCCTCCTCAAACTCCACTTGGATCTCATCATTTGCAAGAATGAGTCTGAGCGGCTTAATTGGGCATTGATGTAATGGCCCATAGGGACCCCCACATTTGAAACACAACCCTTTCTTACGCCTTTCCAACAAGTCTTGGTATGCTAAATGTTTCGCACCTCTATCACGAGACCCATTAAAATTTCTTTCTCCACTCTTTTTTTCATTTGGGCCAGGCCCATTAGTTCCTACTTGTGGAATTACACTTTTAATGCCCCCACGACCTGTATTACTCCCATGGGTCCTCTGTCCCGATCCAAAACCAGTCCTTTGCCATCCACTAGACCCGCGTGTGAATTCTGCTTCAATTGCCCTCGTCGTATTCATCAAACGACCACGCGTCAATGGTGTTGCCATGTGCAGGCTTCTCAAACGAGCACGAATATCCTCTCTCAGCCCATTCATGAAGTACGCAAAATATTGACCATCCAACAACCGTGGTACTTGCGCAATCAAACTCTCAAAGTGGCTAATGTACTCCTCCACTGTTCCCGTCTGATGTAAAGCAGTCAACTGCTCAAACACCGTACCTTCTTCAATTCCGCCATATCTCTCTAGTAGTTCCTTCTTCAAATCCTCCCAGGTCAACTCATCATAGTCTTGCAACAAAGAATTAAAGAAGTGAATGGTGCCATTCTCCATACAAATCTGTGCTAAACTCATCTTCACCGCCTCACTCGTATTTTGGACTTGGAAGTAGATTTCTGCTCGAGAAATCCATCCTGCTGGATCCTCTCCTGTAAATGCAGGAAACTCGATTTTCTTCATCGATTGTCGAAATTCTTCTAGAGCCTCTCCTTTGAGTGACTTCCCTGCAATACTCGACTTCTCTGGTCCCTCCTTTGATTTCTTCCCTCGTGATTCGTTTCTCACAGAATTCTCACCATCTTCTTTATGATTCTTGCCCAAACTCTTCGTGAACAGCTCAAGCAATTTCTCTTGATTTGCAGCAATGGTGTCTTGCTTCGTGGTCTGTTTCTCCGATTGTTCCCTCAAAACCTCAACGGAGGCTTTAATCTTCGATAGCTCACTCTCCAACAATGCTACACGATTCTCCATTCCAGAATCCTCTTCCACTGGTTTCTGGCTTCCCTGCTTCCTTGTTTGTGGCATTTACCGGTCTAACGCAATCCGGCAGGTCGGACCAATAATACAGAAACAAATTTCAAGAGTAAATAAGCGCAAGCAAATGATAAAAAAAACAGGGTAACTTTGTATTGATTATAAAAAGGAAAACTACTTTAGAGAAAAATCCTCTAAAGTCCCAGAGCCAAACTCCGAATAGAAAAACACTATTCCTCTACCTTAGGCATAGCCAAAATGCTCTCCCCCCACTGATTCATGATGGTATAAACAAAAAGGTAATAACATAAAGAAACATTCATTCTCTCTCCTCAAACAAACTCTCAATACCCATTCTTCCTAATTTGTCCTCTTCTTCTTTCGAGTGTAGACAATCAATTCCTTTGAACTTTTTGCTGATATATCTGCTAAAAACTCTTGCGGCTCAATGTTCTCCTGAACCTTATCACCGTTGGACACTCTACCTATATATGTACAGATAGTTTGCAGGAAATAATACATGAGAAAACAATCAATCCCTCTTTGTTTTTATTACTTTCAAGAGGAAGCCTAACTTGCAAAATACAATCTCCACTGTGGCAAGGAGAAGTACTGAAGCTAAGTTCATAGCAATCATACAATATGACAATTAATTTGGATTGAGAGGCTCTACAAGACCTAATATTTTGTAGGAAAGGTTTATGATGATTTGTAGTCACAGTGAATCAGCAACAAACATAGTTCACAAGCCTGTCCAGCAAAACATGTCAAAATTGATAGAAATCCTACCAAATATGAAATTGTTTTAGTGGGTATCAAATTATCAATATCTTCTGTATTCCAACATGACACCATGATGCATGAGCAAAATCTGGGTTTGAATTCTTAATTGATAAGCTAGGAATGATTAATATCTATTCACCAGGTTGAGGGGAATGTTGGAGAAGATCTTGGTCATCATAGGAGGTGGCAGTTAATGCCACTAGCTGTAAATGTGGTATATTTATCGTAATTTCTTAATTGTATCCTGATTGATGATAGCTACTGTAGGTTAGGAGTAATTTCCTATCTGTTTCCACTTTACGTTCCATGATTAGGGGGTAATTTTAGCTTATTTTGCATAAATTTGTATTCTCATGATAACAATAAGTAGGATTTCTTTCTAAAGCCTCTTTGATCACTAATTTTACAAACTCTATCAGAAACATTTCTCCTAAAAGGTGGGTGCTCCAATGCTTTTTCATCCATTATTTAAATTCAGAAGTGACAACATAATACTAGCATTTGCAAACTAAATCAGCTCCTTTTGCTAAATATGTGTTTTCAAGGAACGATAAAAACTATAGGCCTAACATCGAAAGAAATTTACCTTTAACAAAGTACTTGGTGAGGATGCACCATGAGATATTGGTCCTGACTTTCTTCCATCAAGCTCATACAGTTGACCTGCATATCATATAATGCAGAGAAATTAATCAGATGAATTTTTGGCAACTGCAAAAGGAGAACAACAAATTGAAGTAGACATGAATAGGATCCTACATAGTTTACTTATAGCCTTTTTATATAACTAGTTTAGTGTTGTTGATAGAATCACATCTTGGTATGTATATTGTTTTGCTCTTTTTACAAAAACAACACAAACAAAATAACATTAATTTGTTATTTATATAAAGAAATTACCATCCACACAAGCAAAGCAGATGAAATGAGTGTCCACATTATCTGATGCCTGCATTATAAACAAAAAGGTTGTAAGAGAAGAAGGAAAACCGGTTGGAAACAAACAATTTTGTTGTTGAAAGGGGAGGTGATTGTTATCTATATTCACAATACAATCCAAGTTTTGCCTCACAGTATAACAACATTAATATATGAGAAAACTATGATACTTATATCTCCTAAAACCTCAGTAAAAATTGAAAAATCATCGAATGAATGTACTATTAGTAGAGCACTTCATATTGATGGGTCTCACAGTTGAAGTATATTTTCCATTCAATTATTCCATCTACATAAAAAAAAATTGCATGGAAAGATAATTTAAACGTCTGTTTACATATACAATAAAAATGTTTTGCCTCCTTAATGCAGCATCACAATTTTACCCCTTTGTCCCATATAATTTTCACTTTTTTTTAATCTATCAATGAAGAAATTCGTCAGGATGAAAAAAAGATTGTTCAGTACATAAATGTAAGTAGTCTTTACCCCACAAGTTAAAAGATAGTTTCCAAGATTTGAACATGCAACCACCACATCATATGGAAGCAACCTTACTGTTGCACCAACCCTTACACTCAAGAAAGCCATTAAGATGAAGAGAAGAAAATTACAAAGGAATTTGGAGGATACGAGACCGTAATGGAAAAATGAAAATAAAACAAGAAAAAGAATTAGAAGTTGCAAAGCATCCAATCCTCCATATATCTCCTAAGAAAACCCCTTTAAAAAAAGACAGTGTTCTTCACACCAAATAGAAGCCAATAGCCTAATTTATCTCAGTAAGCAACTAGACCAAATAAACCCCGTTAAAAATAGGATTATTACTCTAACGAAATGCATCAAATACTGGCATATAATGCACATTGCCATAAAGCAATGTGGGTAAGTCATACAACTTCAATGAAGAAAAATCCAAGTAGGAAGCAGGATTTGACTCCAATGGGTTGGTATCTTTTCATAATTTCTCTGTAATTAGTTTTCAGCTAAACATCTTAGTAGAAATTGAGTTAAATCACAACTTAACTTCATCATTTGTACAAATCTCTAGTCTAAAAGGCCAAATCTAATTCACATGACTACTCATCATAGAAGAACCTAAAAAAACCTGTTAAATGAAAATCAATGCTTAAATATGAGCTTATCATATAAAAAAAAATAATAATTATAACAATAAACAACTTGGATTTTCAAGATAAGAAATCTAATCCCACGACCACTCATCATAAAAGAACCTACAAATTAAAACTATGTCATGTAAAAGTCCCTGCTCAAGTATCAGTTTGTCATATCCAAAGAATAATGGTCACAACAAATAACTAATAAGATTTTCAAGATAAAAAAGCGAAACTGAATCTCTTGTCACATCACACCACACCCCCCCCCCCCTCCAGCCAATAATTGTTCCTTTAAATTTAATAAATAAAAGTACCACTGTATCACCACCACTGGCTGCTACTGAATGAGCAACTTCCATCTCTTTGTCATTCTCAAGAAAGACAGCCCGCTGCAAAATAAGGAAGTTAGAAAAATGTCACATAAACATTATATTTAACGGTCTATTACTGTCATTTGTTTGCATTTGTGAAATATGAGAAAGAAAGAGAAAAGGTTTGGGTAGGAAGAAATAAATAACCTGCAATGGATCCATGCTGGCAGTAGATTTAAAAAACTTGTCAAAAAACGACCCCTCAACTGGTAACAAGAGCAACACCAACTGAATGAAATGTAATGGTTGATACAATATAAACTTAAACTCAGGCTGTGTGATTGTTAGAAACCTACCAAGCTTGACTTCAGAGGTTATGTTCCCAAGTGCATGAAGCAGACCTATCGTACCGCAAGCATTACCCACGGTTTGCTTCATAAAGTACACTTTACTGCTATAATCCTACACCAGAACAACAACAAAAAAAAGAATCCTACTCAATGCATTGCAGGTGCTTCAAAGCAAGACATGCAATTAAAAAATTAATTATATGACATGCTACCTAAAATTCAGATTTATAGACACTATCTAATAAAATAGTCAATTAAGGTTGAAAGACGATCCATACTTAATAATAAAAGAAAGTCCAAACAGAACGAGCAATGCTTTGCATCAGGGAAAACTAATAGTCGCATAAAAATGAAAAGACTCTATAAATAGACATACCCACTCAGGAACTCACCTTTTTTTCATTTTCCTGTTGCAACCTTTCTTCTTCAGTCTGATAACACAAGATAAAACTTTCACAAAATCAGAAGCAAAAATACATGACAGTAGAAATGTTGTGAGTAGGAACTAACCTTTGCGGTAATAGGATAAAGAAAAAGCACGGCGAGAACGGGCTTCGGAACCATCTCCAGAAGCTCTTCATCTAAGCCAAAAACATCACAGCACTCTGCCTCCTCGACTGGAAGGCCAAGACCCCAAAGGAACTGTAATTCATCCATAAACCACTTAAGTTACGCACGCTATCAAACAGAATAAAAATTGTAAATCCAAATTGAAAGCGATAAATTGTTTTGCAAAATTTGTTATATATGTTCCATGAATAAACGATCATAATTGAAGGAATGATTGAAACATTTTGCTGAATGATAGGGAAATAGGAGGAGAGAGATTGCCTGGTTCATGACGTCAGGGTTAGCTTCAAGAGGAAGCCACCTTTTGGCAGAAGGGCGTTCGTCTAAGGTGGCCATTCTAATTTCTTCCTGCTATGTTATGCTCCACTTACAAACTCACTCTCGAACATTGAGAATCGAGACTACTAATACAATATATATGGTTGAATTTGTGGGCCTGATTGGGCGTTGGCAAAGTTAATAGATTGCTGTTTCTTTCTACACCCCACAGTTTCGTCCTGACCTCCTTATTCACATCAAATAACAATATTACCTATCTAAATAAGTTTTAGAAAGTTCATTCTGGATATTTATTTTTTAATTTACCTTTCCGGAGCTTTCTGAAAATGTTTGAGAATCAGCTTTTTGGAAATATATTTAAAAAACTGATTTTATAATGCTTTCAGAAAATTTTCAAAAAATACAATCCGAAAATGAATTTTAAATTATCTTTCTGAAACTTATTTTGAGATTATATTTTCTAAAAATATATTTTAGAAAACTGATTTTGAAATTTTTTGAAATTTTTTCAAAATATATATTCTAGAAAATACAATTTAAAAATGAGTTTTATATTATATTTTTCAAAATTCATTTCCATATTATATTTTCTAAAAATTTACGAACTCAAAATTTATTTTTAGATTATATTTTTTAAAAATATATTCCGAATCCATTAATTTAAAATACCACGAATGTAACTCATATGCGTGTTTTTACGAAATTTGTAAATAAACATGTTATACTAGTAAAAATGATACTTGAATGAGATATGTAACAAATGGAGGGACTGACGTTGATATAGAGATGTGACGGAGAAGAGATGCCGGTTAATATCACTTGTAAAATCTGTAAAATACGTTATTTACTTATATTAAAGATCAAATTAGTTATTTTAAATCTTGAAAAAAATGAAAAACAAATAATATATTTTATACATTAAAACCAATAATTCATATATTTTATAAGGATTAAAAACATTTCCTTCAAATTTTACACAAATAAAAAAACAAAAAATAAGATAAAATTATAGAAATCAAAATAAAAACTCGCTAATATTACATAGACTAAACACATAATTAAATCTACACATAAATAATAAATGAAACGATAACTACTCTATTTGATTTTATTCCTCCCCGATCCATTTCATCTCCTTCAATTTTAATGATAATCATAGTCTTACGTGTTTTTCACAGGCTCTTAAGGGTTGCTTGATTATCCAAATGACTTTATTCTTTCCGCTGAATCACCACCATAAGTTTATACTCCAAGTACACACAGATTAATTTATTGCCAGAAAAAATCCAAAAGAAAATGTTGAGTCTTTACAACAATAGTATAAATAAATAAGGAAAAAAAAAATAATAATAACTCAAAGCCAGTGTGTCTCTAGGCGCATGCTGTTAGAGACTCTTTTCAGCTTCGGAAATATGACTGACTGTACACAAAGGGGCCCAGTCAAATTGCAGTTAAATTTCATCATCTATGAAGTTGACTCTAGGTTCTAGATGACTATTCTAAATGACAGATGTTCCTTTCTAGAAACATAGAGACCCAATCAGTAAAAGAACACTCCTTTCACTCTCCAGTATACCTTGGTTTCCGCTTCTCAGCAAATGCAGCCAAGCCTTCAAGTCGATCTTTAGTATTCAAGACATAGTCATAGTAATCTTCTTCCAAGACCAAAGCTGATGTTAGATCAGTCTCAACTCCCTCATTAATAGCCTTTTTAGCCATCCTTATAGCTACTGGACCCTGTTAAAAATTTAATGAAACTGAATAACATGTAGGGGTAATAGGGGAACTATGCCTTATTTCTAATTAATCATACTTTCAAGAAAGAGGAGGGTTGTTTTATTTGGGAAATTCACACCTAGAAGTAATTTCACTTTTTAGTGTTCAAAAAACTCCATTTGACAAGAGGTTTTAGGCTAACGTTCTCAATAGGCTGTTAAATAAATACTTCCAAAATATATTCCAATCATAAGTTATCTTGGACATATAACCAAAATTTCTCTTGATTTTCAAACTTAGATGGATCATAGGGATCAAATTGCACGAGATTTTTAGGGGGTTTGCACAGGAAGTTAAGTTTTTAGTAATGTACTTGTAACGTGAGCTATTTTTCTTTTTCTTAATACATCAACTCCTTTAAAAGAACAAAATGAAAAATCAACATCTAAAAAATCAGTCGCAGCCATTTCACGGACATTCAACGGCACGAAAAGGCCAAATCCCCGCATTTCTAAATTTCATAAACCACAGCTATACCATAATACCAGTTTCAGAATGATATATTTATGAGGGAGATACCTTTTGATTGATATCACGAGCAACTTCAAGTGCCTTTGAATACGCTTCACCAGCAGGAACACAGTAATTAACAAGACCTGCACAAATAAATATTTAGGCAGCCATCATGACGTTTGTTGAGGAATAAAAAAGAAAAAATTATGCTTTACTTATGAAAAGAAGCACAAACAAGTTAGCAATTTTTCATGTGAAACATTTTTGTATTTGTTATTGTTTAGAAAGTTGCACAATAGTGGTAACGTTTCTCTTTGCTTTACTGGAGTTCAACAGGAAATGGCTAAATGTACCAATAGCAGTGTTATGAAACCCCCAAACAAATATAGTTTAATAGAAAAACTTTTGTTTCATAATGTCTTGAATGTTTTGTTCAAGTGAACTATAAGTTTGCGGAAACAATGAGCATATATGCTGTGTATTCTCCAGATTCTCCTCCTCTACATCGCTGTGTTGATGTCTTTACTAATTAGATAAAGAAAAGAGTTCAGTGACTAGTCAATATACCTAAGGACAGTGCCTCTTTGCCATCAATCTTTCGACCAGTAAATATGATATCCTTTGCAATTGCTTTTCCAACCAATCTAGGTAGTCGCTGAGATCCACCTGCGCTGTATCAATAATAACAAGAATATGGAGCTGACCTTATTACCCACGTTCATCAAGAAATTATAAACAATTCAAATTCACCATTACGTCATATTTGTCTACATATTTCAAATATACTCCACAATCTATCTTGAGATTTAATCTTTTTACTTTATTAGATAACAGAACCAAAGAGATACAATATACAAAAGACACAACATACAAAACACTAAAGAAAAATAGTATGAAACATACGCAGGGATTATTGCAAGTCCTGTCTCTGGCAAACCCATCAGAGCATTTTCTCCTATGCCAGGAAAGAACAAACAAGTAAAGAGAAAGTCTGATACTGGCATCACACTCCAAAGCAATCAAACAATTAGAATCCAATATATAAAAATAAATGAATAATAAGTAAATAAAAATTACTACACATTTAACTACCACATATCCGAATATCACATGCAAGAGCCAATTCAAGTCCACCACCAAGAGCTACTCCTTCAATAACAGCAATAGTTGGAACATGAACAACCTGAATAAAGAAAAAAATATTATCCTAATTTCAAAGAGCAGTATAATTAAAATGGGAAAACATAGATGCTATGACACACATGAAGTACAGCCAGAGAAAAAGAACATTGTAGAGTCCACTTAGAGATTTTCCATCACCAATATTTATTTACTACTACCACTGAAAGACAGACTATAAATGGAAGCAAAAGAAAGTTGGGTCAGCTCATGAGCTATATAACATCCCCCTCTCCCCCACCCAAATCCTAAAAATGATAATAACAATACCAGAAAAAGAACGTGAACAAAATAGAAATGTAGAATTAAGCACCATAACCAATTTCATATGCTGCTTTCATCTGTCATAAATTCATAGCATTATGTGACCCAATAAACCCAAAATGGTAGAATGTAATCCAATAAGCACACAAAAGTCATGAATGATTTGAACTAACCTCTAGAAATGAAAATGTGGAGCGAATGGAATTCACAAACATCTTAGTCTCTGATTGACTCATGGTTCTGCGCTCCTGCAATACAAAAAACACAGAACCTTTAAAGGCAGGGATGACCATAATAAGTAAAATTAAATCCACACTACCTTGCCTAACCGCAAGAACCAATTAGAAAATGATCAAACTATGACCAAGTATTATGTTTTGAAAATTTTTGGTTTACGATCACAGTCACCACAACAGAAAATAGAATCACAAATATTGTAAGACACGAGCCTTCTTCCTTTAAAGATTGAAAATTAGGGAATATAACAATTAACCTTTAAATCAGCCCCAGCACAAAATACTCGAGGAACTGAACTGCTGATCATAGCAACATTAGCGTAAGAGTTCTGATTAATCAACTCAAAAGCATGACTTAAGCCTCGCAGCATCTCTTTCCCTATGGCATTTTTTACTTCGGGCCTATCCAAGCTAATTTCGACAATCCCTGTAAAAATAAATGAAATGAGATTAGGAAAAAAAAAAGAAAAAAAAAAGGGAATTACTCATTGTGATGGTGAATGCAGTAAAAAATAATAATTTACCGGAATCAGGGCCAGTGAGTCTGTGAAGCTTGACGAATTCAGAAGCGGAAGTGTCGAGAATAAGATTTCTACGGGTTTGGTATTGGTTGTGGTGCTGATGTGTGATGAAATTGAGAGTAAGATAGGGTTTGGAAGTTTTGACGTGGAAGCTGCTACGCATAGATTTTGTTAACACTCTCAAGGCGCACATTTTCTTCAGTTTGAGATGATCCGGGACGAAATCAAAATCATTGCCTCTATCACTTTTGCCTATGATCCCATGGACATCAGGATAAGTATAAGTCTGTGTGTTGCGTTTCTTTTTTTATTTATTTTTTCCTCTTCAAAAGATAATCTAAGTCAAACAGAGACTTTTTTTCATAAATAATTCTGTTTTCAAAAATATTTACCAAAATAGCACCTATGCAACTTTATTTACACAACTAGCATTGTTTATTGTTCACGTATTAAAATAATATTATTTCGCGCAACTATTCACTGTTCATTATATTAAAATAATATTATTTCGCGTACTGAACTCTCGCTCAAGCGAAGAAAACCTTCGCTTGAGCGAGGAAACCTGTAACAAAGGGGTCATCTGGGGTAAATTCTCGCTCAAGCGAAGGTTTTCTCGCTTGAGCGAAAAGTATGACCGACTATTATCTAATTATAGTCGATCACTTTGACATATATGACTTTAGATAGCGGTTATTTGGCCAACCGCTATCTAAACTACTACATTAGATAGCGGTTATTTGCCCAACCGCTATCTAAGGTCACTCAAGCGAACTGCGTTTGGCGTTTCATGATTCGGTCATTACTCGCTCAAGCGACAAAGTCACCGCTTGAGCGATGAAGCCTTCAAACAAGGGGGACTCTCGGGTTCTGCTTCGCTCGAGCGAGGCGTACTTTCGCTCGAGCGATAAGTGATTGAAATATGTGGTGACGCAAGTTGCATTATGTGGCTAACTGCGTTGGACGTTTAGCTATGGTCAATTATCGCTCAAGCGAGAAACCATCGCTTGAGCGAGCAAACCTGCAGGGGACCCAGGTTGCATTATATGATGTTGCTGAAAGGGGAGTTTGTTCTGTTTATGAAATTATATTGTTTCTATATTGTTTTACCTGGAGCTGACTGTAATTGATTCATTGAAGGTGAATATGGGGATGATAGCATGTAAAGAGAATTTAAAATTTCTTGACTGATGGTTGGTTGGTTACTCAGGGTTAAAGTGCTTGAGGTTGTGGGGCTGTCAAACATCAATTCTGTGGAGTGGCTTAGAATGATCAAAGAAGTGTTTTTACAGTATTTTAATCGATACAAATTACTTTTTATCGATTAAAACCCTTTAGAACCCATTATGACCGATCAGATATGAAATATGAGCGATCAGAACTTATTTCAATCGATTAAAACACGTTTCAATCGATTAAAATCACTTCAAGGGTCAGAATGATCGATCAGAATGCAGTTATGACCCATCAGAGTTGGTTATGATCGATCAGAATTGAATTATGACCGATCAGATCTGTTTCAATCGATTATAACGTATTTCAATCGATTAAGGAGTGTGCAATGTGAGAACTTCAAAGAATGAAAGTAGTCTATTTATAATGAAGTCCATTGGTTTCAATCCAATGCTCCCTCACATGGTTTCTGCTTTTTTGTCTAACCCAATGTAGGGAATCCAAGATTGGAATCCAAGATTTTGTCTAAGATTGGAATCCAATGCTCCCTCACATGGTTTCTGCTTTTTTGTCTAACCCAATGTAGGGTATCCAAGATTGGAATCCTAACTTAGGTGGGTAACTCAGCATTGGATTCTTTACTTGTGTGCATCAGAAAGACATGGGAATCCTGACTTCGGTGGGTGACTCAGCATTGTAAATAGTTGCAGGTTTTCTCGCTCAAGCGTTGGTACGCCTCGCTCGAGCGAAACAGAACCCGAGAGTCCCCCTTATTTGAAGGCTTCATCGCTCAAGCGGTGACTTTGTCGCTTTAGCGAGTAATGACCGAATCATGAAACGCCAAACGCAGTTCGCTTGAGTGACCTTAGATAGCGGTTGGGAAAATAACCGCTATCTAAAGTAGTAGTTTAGATAGCGGTTGGGCAAATAACCGCTATCTAATGTAGTAGTTTAGATAGCGGTTGGCCAAATAAATGCTATCTAAAGTCATATATGTCAAAGTGATCGACTATAATTGGATAATAGTCGATCATACTTTTCGCTCAAGCGAGAAAACCTTCGCTTGAGCGAGAATTTACCCCAGATTACCCCTTTGTTATAGGTTTCCTCGCTCAAACGAAGGTTTTCTTCGCTTGAGCGAGAGTTCAGTACGCGAAATAATATTATTTTAATACAGTGAACAGTGAACAGTTGCGCGAAATAATATTATTTTATTACGTGAACAGTAAACAGTGCTAGTTGTGTAAATAAAGTTGCAGAGGTGCTATTTTGGTAAATATTTTTGAAAACAAGTATTATTTATGAAAAAAGTCGATAATTTGTGTTTACAATTTATTATGAATATTACAAGTTTCTATAAAAAGTGCTTCCCATTCTTTATTATTTATTATCTTTATTCAATTTAAAAGTTTTAAGTGTATTATTATAACTTGAAAGTTTTAAGAGTATTATTATAACTTGACTTAGTTAATACACGAGTTCACAGTATTTTTTATTTCTGAAAAAAAGTTTACTTTTGAATATAGAAATTATTTTTAATAAACTTAATTATTTTAATATGGGATTTTATAAAATCAAACATTTATCTTTTTAAAACTTTTAACATTATTTATGTCTCATTTATTTTATAGATATAATAATGTTAAAAAGTTCATAAATTAATTAATCAGTCATATTTTGTAATATCACATATAATATTGTTATAATAAAATTTATTTTTATTTTTGATAAGATATTTATTTAGAAGAAGATTGCGCTAGTAATTCTTTTAGGTTTTCTCATAATACATTTGGTAGGTATTGATCTCTCGTAAGCTACTCTATTACCATCTGGAAAGTGATGTTCTGGTAGTTAGATTCATACCAATGAGTTCTTCCTACGTGTGTGTGTGTTTTGATTGCTTGATTGAATTTATGTTTTTTTCATTTTTTTCGTTGGCACAATTTTCTTTCTCACAAATTATGTATAAAATAATAATGTAAAAAACAATACATTTAAAAATATATTTTAAATAATTTTCTTAATTTAAATATTATAATTATGGTTCATTAAAAAAATTCAATAGAATGTTTTAAGTGATATAAAACTCATTAATAAACGTAACAAAATATAATGTTCACCCGATAAATTAGGAACACAAGGGAAATAAATTTTATTCTAAATCTGACCGTGATAGTTAATGTTTTCTTCAAAAGCAAGAATGTCTCTCTCTTACAATTAATTTTAATATGTTTTTTATTTTTAAAATAATCTAATAATATATATATATATATATATATATATATATATATAAATTATTCATAGGCAAAAGATAATAATTATTAAATAACTTTGATTTTGAGATTATAATACAATGTTAAAATATATATTATTAATATTATTTTATAAGATCAAGATATTGAAATATATATATATATATATATATATATATATATATATTATTAATGTTATCTATAAGTTATAATTATGGTTAACAAATTAATAAAGGTTTTTATTTTTTTAATAATATTTTATTGATAAGTCATTTATTTTATTTTAGTTATTTATTCTTTGATATGTTATTTTATAAGATTTTTATTATCATTTACGGTATTTACCTCTTATATATTTCTGAATGAAACTAAGTTTTTTTAACAATAATTAATATTTTGCTAACAAAATTCTAGTTAAATTTGAAACAGAAAATATTTATAAAAGAAAGTAAGATGCTTTTATTATTTAACAAAATTCATTTCAATAATTATATGTGCACTCTTATAAGATTTAAAAATTTCTATATGAAATTTTCGAAATCACTCAACTAATATTTCATACAAATAAATTATACAAATTATAAATTATTAATTGTAAAAGCATATGCATAAAAAATATAGGTTATGGAAGAGTTCTTAAACATTAAAAATAAAAACTCTTTTAAAAAAAAAAAAAACTTGTATATCATTATGGGATCTGATACTTTATTCAGCAACAGTACTCTATCCTAAATTTTTCTTCAACTTTTAAGATCTCGAAGAATAATTTAACTCTCAAAATTTTAAATAGTCAAATTTTTATGGTTAATAATTTTTTTACTGTATTAAAAATTGAGTCTCTTATGTTTGTTTAATCAATATCGCACTAAAAATCAATTTATTATTTTTAAATAGTTTTATTTTAATTAAATTAAAATAAATTAATTATATTTTTTATCGGACCAATTTTAATAAAAGGAAAATTAATTTAAAAATTAAATTTTTAATTTAATATTTTTAATAAAAAACATAATATATTTTACTTTCTTTTATTTTTATTTAATAATTTTTTTATTTTTTAATATATCTTATATTTATAATTTTTATAATAATGAGAAAAATTAATTTAAAATAATTTTTTTTAATATAATATTTTTTATAAAAAGCATAACATATTTTACTTTCTTTTATTTCATTTTATATCCCATATAAAATTACCTCACATAGTTTCCAATTAATTATATATTCGTTATCTACAAATCCAGGATTTCAAATATTTATAAAATACTTAAATTGGTGAATTTTTTATTTACATCCATAATTTGTTTTCTTATTTATCATTTTACTTTTATGAAATTTTATAGTTTGCGTAAATATTATATTCATTTATTTTAGAATTTTGCATGTCAAATCATTGTCAAGTTCTTAAGTCAATTTTATTTTAAATAAAACATGAATTATTATTTTTTATTTAATATTGAGTAAAAAATTCATTTAAGTATTGATTTTATTAATTAACTATTATTATTATTTAAATAATTCAAATATTTTTACTATTTTATATCTATAAAAAAAATACATCTCATTAGATAAAATATAAATATGATTTTTTTTATACGTTTATTTCATTTCACATTAGCATGAAATTCTAATTCATTGAATTAAGTAATTGTTTATTATATTTTTTAATATATATAATATAATATTGTGTTAAATATTTTATTATTTAAAATTTATGGCCAAAAAATGAATTATTGATAAAACACGTAACATTGATATATCTTATTTTATTTTAGAAGTAAATGTAAAAACTATTTTAATATTATATTCTATTTTCAGTGTGAAGAATAATTTTTCGTTACTTCATTATCAGGAGTGAGTGAAAAATATATTATTATATTTTATTTTAAAAAAGAATACGGAAAATATTTATTATTATGTTCTATTTTGAGAAATGAATATAATTCTTAAAAATAAATATAAAAAATATTTTATTGTTATTTATTTTAAAAAATGAATATAAAAAATATTTTATTATGTTTTATTTTATAAAAATAATATAAAAAATATTTATTATTATATTTTATTTTGAGAAATAAACATATTTAATTTTAAGAATAAATATGAAAAATATTTCACAAAATTTTTATCAAGATATAATAATAATAATAATATAATTTTTTCTGATTTTATAAAATTGAATTAATTATTTTATTATAATTATTTTATTATCTTTGATTTTTTATATATATATCTTATTTCATAACAATTTTTTATTTAAATAGTTTTATTTAAAAATTAATTTAACTTTAATGGGTAAGTTTTAAAATATTTTTAGTCATTTTTTTATATTGACTTATTTTTTATAATATATCGATAAAAAATTATTTATTTACTTTTTTTTAATAACATATTCACTATTAATAAATATTGGGTTTTAGTCTTTTCTCATAACATTCCTTAACTTCAATTAATATTTTAACTACTTATCAACCACTTACTTTTATATTATAATAAACCTTAACTGATAAATGTATAGTAAAAAATTTATAATTATATTTTTGTATTCACAAGACTCAAACTTAATTTTCATATAAATGATTTATTGATATTTTTTATGTTATAATATTATATTTAATGTTTATAATTTTGAATTTAATTATTTGTCAAATATTTTAGTATCATAAAATTCAAGAATTTCGTATTTATTTTCTTATATATTATAAATAATATTATATATATTTGAAAAACAATTTATCATTTAATAGATAATATATTAATTATTTAGTAATTAATATATTCATTATTTAATAAATAATATATTAATAATTTAATAAACAATAAATTAATTATTTATACATTTTGAATGAATATTTTGTTTCATTACTTTTTTTTATTCCCAGTTTAAAATTCCCTTACATAGTTTTATTAAATAATAAATTAATTATTTGCAAAAATAAAGGATTTGAATTAAAAGTAAAATCCTTAAGTAACATGCATCATAGTTTTTTATTTGATTCATTTCCTAAAATACTATGAAAATTCCCCCCCCCCCAAGACCTTATATATTAATTATTTATCATTTAATAGATAATATATTAATTATTTAGTAATTAATATATTCATTATTTAATAAATCATATATTAATAATTTAATAAATAATTAATTAATTATTTATACATTTTCAATAAATATTTTGTTTCATTACTTTTTTTTATTCTCGGTTTAAAATTCCCTTACATAGTTTTATTAAATAATAAATTAATTATTTGCAAAAATAAAGGATTTGAATTAAAAGTAAAATCCTTAAGTAACATGCATCATAGTTTTTTTATTGAAAACTATGATGCATTTACAATTTTTGGTTACTCTTAAGTCCTAACTGCATACAGTAAGCTCTTTGGAATGGAATGCATCTACCTGTTTACTGGTTGATAATGTCTTATTGAAAAAGAGATGAAATCTAAGTTAAGACCGTCTGTATTTACAATTTCTGGCTAGTCTTAACTAAGCTAACAGTCAGTACTTTCGTTTGCATTTACTTGTTTAGTGGGCTGACAATGTGAATGTCTAAGAACATAGAAAGAAGGTCCTAAAAGGCATTGCTTGTCTGATATCAAAACAGATAGAATAGAACTTCTTCTCAAACTCAAGGTATATTGAATATCAATTTTGCACCTCCATCCAACTACAACCAGAAATTTTCTCCAACCCTTTATGTTTCATGGCTACCCTCAAGTCATTGGCGTCCTTCCAGGAAGCAAAGGAGGAAAAAACATTTGCCCTGAGAACATAGTTTGCTCCCAACTCAGAATCCAGTTTAGACAGAAGATCAACATCCAAACAAGGAACCCACCCGTGAATTTTACAAGCCCCCAGAAAACTCCTCAAAATAACATCATTAGGTTTCAGGGGCATGCTCTTGATGATATCATAAGCCTCTCGAATCAAGCCAGATCTTCCTAGCAAGTCAATCATGCATCCATAATGCTCAACCCTCGGTTTTATGCCATACACTCTTACCATCCTATCAAAATACCTTCTTCCCTCACAAACAAGTCCCGCGTGACTGCATGCAGAGAGAATCACAGCAAAAGTCAAACTATCTGGTTGCAACCCAATATCTTCCATATGGTTAAACAAAGAGATAACTTCTTTTTGTCGTCCATGATCTGCAAGAGCGGAGATCATGATAGTGCAGGACTGCAAATTCTCGTCATCCATTGAATTGAAAACAATCAGGGCCTTGTCAATTTTTCCACACTTAGCATACATGTCAAACAAAGCTGTTCCCAATGCAACATCCATTTTCATGCAACTCTTTATAACATAAGAATGAATGCACTCACCAGCACCGAGGCAGAGCATCTTAGTACAAGCAGAAAGCAAGCTCACCAAGGTGACTGAATTTGGTTTCTCATTCGCTTGTCCCATCAGACGAAAGACACGAAGAGCATCCAAAGGGGAGTTGTCAGCAACATATGCAGCAATCATGGAGCTCCAGGACACAACATCTCTCGCAGTCATTTCTTCAAATACCTTGCACGCAGAACTTACAGCTTGACAGTCAGCATACATGTTCAAAAGGGCATTACCCACATAGCCATGAGAGCAAAAACCGGTCTTGAGAATGAGAGAATGTAGGGTCCCACCGAGCTGGAGACCGGAAGAGTTACCACAGGCTTTGAGGATAAAAGGGTAGGTGAAGTTGTCGGGGTTAAGAACAGAGATTTGGAGGAGGCGGAAGAGGGAGAGGGAGTAGTGGGGGGTGGGGCTGGTGGTGTAGGCTCTGATGAGGGTGTTCCAGGCAAAGAGGGGTGGAAGGGTAGGAACTGAGTGGAAGAATGCAGTGGCGTAAGGGAGAGAAATAGTGGAGGCTGATAAGAGGAACTGAGAGATGAAAAAGGGGTGGTGATCCAGGGAGGTTTTGAGGAAGAGGGAGTGAAGTTGGAGGAAGTGAGCAAGAGTTATAGATCGGTGGATGAGGGTGATAATACCCTCATAAACACCTACTCTCATCTCTTTCAACTTCATACATACTTTCTGTTATGATTTCTGCACAACATTGCTATGGTTTCTGCACATATCAGTTAAAGATTATATTGTTAATGACTTGAGATATTCTTGTACCAAAATAACTTAAGATATTTATGAAAGAACATAGTTGTTCAATTTATAATTTTATTAACAGTTGTTTTGATTTTTAGACAATTATATTCTATCTAAATCTAAAGATTATATTATTAATAACTTATGATATTCAGGTACTAAAATAAAATAATTATCATGTTATATATACGAGACAACATAGTTGTTTAATTTATGATTTTATTAACATTAACCCCATATTTTTTTATGTTTTGATTTTTAGATAATTATATTTTGTGTAAATACATAAGGTCGTGCATTTTAGTTTCAATGTTTTCTGTCAATAATTTATTTTATAAAAAAGTTATCAACTATTTTAAATTATTTTATTTTAAAATGAATTAAAATAAAAGTGATTGAGTAAAATTAGAGCTCTAATACTTCTTCAAATATATACTTCAATTTCAAGGATGTGAAACCTTTAAACAATAATTTCATACTTTATTTTAATGTGTAAAAGAATTTTTTTATAAAAAATTTACAAGGAAAAAAAAAAGATAGAAAAATAAACAGATATATATAAAAAGACCCAAATTCTCAACCCAATCTACTAACTTTGGAAATTGAAATACCCTAATTGAAGTTGAATAAAGAACCTGATAAACTTTACCTTTGCCAACTCACTTCTTCATTTTACTTACTATCTCCACAGATTAACACTTCTAAATCAAATTCTCTGAAATTGTTGGAATTTCAATTGAAGTGGGTTTCTATTTTGGTTGTGGTTTTCCAATCAACCTACAAATTGTGAGAACCCCGATTTGAAATTTCCGACATTTCATGTTATTTGTAGAAAAGGAAATGGAATTGAGAAATTTGGATGTGGTAATGTTCTGCCCTGAGGCAACAAGAACTAAACCCGTCAACCGCTTTTGGTGCAATTTCTCAACAGCCAAAAGCAGTATGCAAAACCTGCTGAAGAGGGGAAAAAATACAATTTCCTGGTATGAATTGGGAAAAATGATAGCTGGGATTGGAAGCTTGAAAGGAATCTTGCATTTGAATCCATCAAGATGTTTTCAACATTACATCCAACAACCTAGGAGACGACGCAGATGGTAAATTTGTTCAATTTTCATTCTCTTTTATTTTACCTGTTAAATTTTTGAAAAATTGAGGAATCTGATTGGTTCTACTTGGCTTAAGCGGATTTATGTTATGAGTTTTTGTTGATCTTCTTAACTCTGTTTTTCATCTGACAAATGTTAATTATTAGACAATATTCAAATTTTACTTTGACTGGAATGAAAGCATGAATATAATATACAAGGAGATACCTCTCATTTCGCAAGTTTTAGGGTCAAGTGGGGTCTAACGCAAATTCTGATATTATTGGAGACATTAGATTCATTAAAAGAGCAACTATGATATTAGCCATGTAACAAGCCTAAGAGTATTGGAAGAAATTCAAATTGCATTAGAGATAGAACTTGAAAATAGTATATGAGTGGAGATAACTCTTACCTCACAAATTGCTTTTGTACAATTGAAATAGTCCTAAACTCAAATTCTATGCTTAATAATTTATGACATTTGTCTTCCATTTTTTAATGATCTCTTGGAGAATCTAACAAGCAACACAACATCTCCATGTGAAATATACTAATGCAAGAATTAAATGTGGTTTGTTCACATTTTTTTTTAGCACACAATAAAAGTTCGATGGAGTAAACTAACCTATGACTGATATTTAATTTAAAGCAAGTAGAAATATCTAATTGTTCATGGATGATTCAAAGCAATGTCTAGTTTCTCTTTAGTTTAACAATTACTCATTTGATCATTTCACAGTTTCCTCTTTCATCTACCATTTTCATTCCTTTCCCAATAAAAATTACATGGGTTCCTATTTGGTAGTTTCCTAAAAAAATAATGCAATCAATCCATTTTCTTACCTCTCAATTACCAACCAATTCCCAATGACAGAACCAAAACAAGTATCAGTTTCATAGTTTATTTAAAAGATTGATATTGGAGGCTACATAGATGGTTTAAGACAAAAGTTTGAAAGATATTCCCCTGTTTTAATCAAATCATGATTTCTGTTGATTGGCATTACAACTAAATTTATAGTAAGCAAAAAAAAAAAAAAATGATGTATGCAAAAGTTCTTCTATTTCCTATCTTTTATATCAAATAATCATTTTTTAGGAGCCAAAATGCAACAAATCTTAAAAGAAGGACCATCATTTTTTATCAAATTATGATTGAATTTACTTTGGTTGCACTTTATTAGACAAAAATACTAAAATTTAGCATAAGATTTATAATACTTAACTGTAAGTTGCCATTGTGCATTCTACAATTTTAGAAGTGGATCTAATTTTTAGCAAAAAGCAATGCAACAGAACAAAATATTCATTTTACATGATATAATTGGTTAAAATTTTACACAATTTTCTTATCTAATCCAGGGCAATAAAAAAACATCTTATAGCATATCTGCAAAGGGCAGTTTAATTAATGATTGTTTAAACAATAGATGGGTGAAACGCATCTGACAATTGTCGAGTCAGCATAGGCGAGGACCACACCGTCCTCGTTGTCGTTTTGACAGGATACAGATTTTTAGCTGCCTTACTATATCATTTGCTTGTGTATTTTTACTTGCACATGTAATTGAAATTATTCTAGAAAAATCCTATTTAACTCGAAAGCCGAAGCCCTCTCCAATATAAAGATACTTAGGTCGACCTTGCCTGGTACAATTATCTCAGGGAATTCAATTTCATATCAGTTTTACGTTGCAGTCACTGGCTTTCAGATCAATTTCACATTGCTGTCAATGGGTTTCAGACCAACTTCCCTTTGCTGTCCCTGACTTGCAGACCAGTTACCCATTGCAGTCAGTGGCTTTCAGAGCAATTTTGTATTGCAGTCATTGGCTCACTGCCTAGTTTGAATTATTCAGCGTCTCCAGCTCTTGCTTCCAATACGATTTCAGATTTTACTAATCTTTTTACCTCTGGTATCAATTCTCTTATTTTTGTTAGCAAATGTAGCAAAAATTCTTTTATTGACTTTAGATATTCACTGCATTTTCTATTATTTCACGCTGTGCAAATATTTCATAGATTTATATACCATTTTCTACTGCAGTGATCTCCAGCAGTGCATACTTCAACAAATCTATAAAAATTCATACATAGACCATCTAGGGCAGACCTGAATTGAAGGTATGTTTACTTCTTTATCGCAATTTATCTTCGTAGAAATTTATACGATTGGTGATATTTTGTCGAATATAATTTGCCTGTTAGACAAAATGTTTGGATCTCCTTGATTGAAGTGTGGTAAATGACAACCTATGCATGCTTGTTTTGTCTGATTGATGTTCAAATGTTAAAGATCTGTTTTGGTATACATTTTACCATCATAACCTATTTTGTGAAGTCTAGATATGCAAAAGAATTCGTTTATGGACAAGTTTTTTATACTAACATGAATCCAAATAGTCGCTATTAATTTTTTAAAAGATTAATTTGCCTGATATATCCCCATTAATCAATGGATACAGCTCCAATAATCTATGGATACGACAAACAACATTTTGTTTTTATAGATCCAACACTTCTTTTTGATGACAATACTAGAATGTTTTTATGACATTCCTACCTGAGTAGGGAAATTGTATATTTTGTGACATGTTCATATTAAAAGGAGTATATTTTGATATGAGTGGCAGAAGTATATGGAACTATGATTATTTGTTATGACCACAATTATTTTTTTGTAAATTGCAATCTTCATCTATTGACTATTGATATGTTTATGCATTAATTAATGAGAAATCAGTAATGTGAATGTCTCTTTAAAGTATTATGCTCTTATGTTACATATATTTAAATTTTTTGTTGATATATTTGTTGTATCTTGATTTAAAAAAAAATCCTAATATCCCCATATCCATTTTTGATTTTCACATTTTCAGATTTTCAAACTTCTATTTCATTAAAGTGATTTTGGGTATTGAATTTTGTCCTATTGTTATCATTTCTTTCTCTGTTGAGTTTTTTTTTTTTCCTTCAGTTCATAACTTTTTACTCTTTAAAGTAAATTGTTAAAATCACTAGAAGAAAGAACAAATGGTCATTGGTATCTGTTAATTACCATAATGAGCTTAGATGGAAGTTTCGGTACAACAAAGATGGATATTTTTTTTATTTGTTATTTTCTCACTCCTGATAAATTAAACAGTTAGGTTTGGTGATAATAGTGAAAATCCCATGAGACAAAACTTATTTAGAAACGATTAACTGGATTGAAAATGCATGAAAAAACTTGATTTGCTTACCATTTTTGTTCAATATGCTATTTTCACCAGTCCTGATCCTAAACTTGGTATGCCGAAGCAGATTATGTGTTCAAGCAACAATTTATCAATAACTTAGTATGGAGAGAATAACATTTGTTCTTTTTCCCCACGATTATGATTAGATGAACATTTTTGGTCCTTCTTTCAATGTTCAGTTTTAAATGTTTTTGTGCGGATTCCACATAACATACATCATAGGTAAAGTTTTTACTTTTTATAGATGACTATACCACAAATAATTACATATTTCATCATATATAATTGTATGATGTATATTTCTTGTTTTATTAGCTTAGAAATGAAACATATTTCAGTTATGTTGGTTTGTTAGGATGAAGTGCTTTTTTAAGTTGTTTTGTAATTCTGTTACACTGTTACAGATATTTTGGCACCTTAAGTTAATATTGTCGGATCATAACTATCATTGAATAGAACCAACGAAATGGTGTCCACTCCAAATAATAAAACAAACTGTCTAGGCCCAAGTGATCGTAAAACTGACTCATACAATTATGATAATTCAAGGGTATGCTTTACAAGCCCAATGACAAGAAGGAACACGTCATCATGCTCTCCAAGTGAAATAGAAACTAAAAGATCACAATCAAGTATGGATTTGATTGCAAGAGGTGGACACGATGGTGGAAACACAATATCATACCCTCAAAGAGAAATGGAAACTGTCTTGGTAGACCTTGCTGTGGATTTGAATGCAAGACATGGACAAGGTTGTGGACAAGGTGAAACCCCAACAACATTGGGCACTTTAAGAGCAATGGAAACTAAAATGATAGTCTCAAGTGAGGATTTCACTGCTGGAAGCACCACATTAAGCACTCCAAGGGCAATGGAGACAATAAATGTTGAGTCAAGTGGAGGCTTGAATGCAAGACATGGACAAAGTTGTGGACAAGATGAAACCACAACATTAGGCACTCCAAGAGCAATAGAGACTAAAATGATAGTCTCAAGTGAGGATTTCACAGCTAGAAACACCAAATTTAGCACTTCACGAGCAATGGAGATTGTGGATGTTGAGTCAAGTGGAAGCTTGCATGCAAGACATGGGCAGGGTTGTGGACAAGATGAAATTGCAACATTAGGCACTACAAGAGCAATAGAGACTAAAATGATAGTCTTGAGTGAGAATTTGACTGTTGGAAACACCTCATTAAGCACTCCAAGAGCAATAGATACTATAAATATTGAGTCAAGTGGGGACTTGATTTCTGGAAAGACAACATTAGGCACTACAAGAGATATAGAGACTAAAATGATAGTCTCAAGTGAGGATTTGACTATTGGAAAGACCTCATTAAGCACTCCAAGAACAATCGAGACTATAAATGTTGAGTCAAGTGGGGACTTGATTGCTGGAAAGACAACATCATGCATCACTCAAAGAGCAACGGAGATAGAATTGGTGGATGCTGGTGGAGATTCAATTGCAGAACAAAAACAGGATCGTGGACAAGGCAACAAGACAAAATTCAGCATTTCAAGGGAAAGGGAGACGGAAACAGTGGTCTGTAGTGTTGATTTGATGGGAAGACGTGAACAAATCTCTAGAACAGGTGGAAATGTAACATCAGAAGCAATGAAGAATAAAGTAGCAGTGACAAATGAGGAGTCAGTTGCTAGATATAGAAGGGTTTATGGACGATGTGTAGTAGAAACAGGTCCATCATCATCTGAAGGAAAAGCAACAGACAAGAAAAGAGATTTGTCTGTTCCTGAAAGAGTAAGTTCATCTAAACGAGGTGCAAGAAGAGGCATACAGGGTACATGGAACCAACCTACTCAGAAGAGGGCGAGAATTGGAGAACAAAATAGGGATATTTGTAAGCCTGGACCAAGATCACTAATGGAAGAAGGTCCATCATCACCTGAAAGACAAACGGCAAACAAGAAAAGGGGTTCACCTTTGCTCGAAAGAGAAAGGTCATTCAAACGGGGCACAAAAAGGGACATGCAGGGTACATCAAGCCAACCTACTAAGAGGGTGAAAATAGGAGAACAAAACAAAGAAATTAGTAATCTTGGACGAAGCTCAATAATGGAAAATGGTCTATCATCACCTGAAAGACAAACAGCAAACAGGAAAAGAGGTTCACCTTCATCTGAAAGAGTAAGGCCATGTAAGAAAACGACCCTTTCATGGTTGATAGACTCTAAGAGTATTAATGAAGACGAACGAGTATGCTATAAGAGTGCCACAATGAAAAAGGCAATAGCAGGAAGAATTAATAGGGGTAGAATTCTCTGCAGCTGTTGCCAGGAGGAGATATCTGTGTGGACCTTTGAGAGGCATGCTGGAAGTGATGTTGGACGGCCCTATGAACATATTTATCTTCGCAGAAAGCGCAAATCCCTCCAGAAATGCCTGATTGATGTTTGGCAACATGCCCGGGAACGTAAACGTCGGTGTATGTTTTTGTATGTGCCAAAAGAAACTGATGCAGACCAAAATGATGATGTTTGTTCAGTCTGTGGCGATGGGGGAGACTTAATCTGTTGTGACAAGTGTCCTTCCACGTATCATCTATCTTGCATAAATATAGAGGTAATCAAATTATTTTTACCTTCCTTTCTGAAAATGATCTGTTCACATTAATTGGAAACAATCCTTCAGTTGTAGGTATATTTGACGTTCTACGTAAATATTGTTGAATATTTTCCTTTAAACTGCAGCTGGTTTCTCAAAATGATTGGTTTTGTCCATATTGTGTATGCAAACACTGTGGACTGGTTGTGGACCTGGTTGTTGAGAAAAAGAAATACTATGAGAAAAAAGAGGGCTTCAAGTGCTCTCAATGTGACAAGAAGTGTAAGATTTCTTGTGATCCATTTAGTTTGTTTACTGTTCTTTCTTTTTCTGTTGAGAGTGAGTTGCTTTCTAAACGGGCATCTGGTTTGTTGAAACTCCCTCAATACATATTTTGACATTTGTAGGTCATTGGGAGTGCTTTGAAAAATTTGAAAAAGAATTCTCAAAACAAACTGTGGATCTTAAACCTTCAAGATCATATTGTGGGCCGGGCTGCCAAGAGGTACATATTCTTTCGCTTTGATTAATGCATGAAAAATAAAAATACCAGATGTTCTTGTATGTTTTTTATATGCATTTAGAATTTTGATTGTGTTTTGTTAAAAGATATATGAGAAAATGAGAGTATCACTCGGCATCAGAAATGATTATTCGGCAAAATACTCTTGGAGGGTCATCCGCCTAATGGAGACATTCAAGAAGGATCCTGCTGAAATGCATCTATACGTGGAAAACAATTCAAAGGTTGCAGTTACATGGATGTTAATGAATGAAGCTTTTGAGACAATAATTGACAGAAAGACGGGCATCAATGTGGTTCAAAGTGTAGTTTATAGCTGCAAGTAAGAACATAAATCTTATTTTTGCAGGAGTTAGTTTTCTCCATCTTAATGCAACTCATTACTATTTCTGTCATTGTGTTCTTGTTATTTTGTTCATTCTGCACTTTGTAATCGCTTCTAATATTACTACTTTCTAAGAGTACAGCTTTTTGATCCATTGTTACAATTACTATTCAGGTCAAACTTAACCAGGATTGATTTTAGCCGTTTTTATATGTTTGTTCTGGAGGAAGATGATGAGATCATTGCTGCAGCTTGTATAAGGTATTCTTTTTATGTTCATTAGCGACCTCTTCGACCTTTTCCAGAGTTTTGAATGCTCTTTGTAGCTAAGAACTGACCCTTCTGCTCTGATGCTCTCTGCCGTTGACATAAAAAACTAACATATCACGATTTCAGAAGGCTCCTCACAATGTGAAAGTATGTGATTGAGCCATTATTTATCCTTGCATATGCAAAGAGGTTGTTTCGGATTCAAACCCATACTCAACCAGTCACCCAGACACAACTTTACTGCTGTGCCAGGGTTCACCCCTTCGTCACATGTCTTTATAATTTTGTTGTGTTTACAAGGATTGTGATACATATTTCATTGAAATTTTACTTCACAACTCTAGATTTCACGGGACAAGGATTGCAGAAATGCCATTTATTGCTACAGAAACGTCATACAGGGGGCAAGGAGTTTGCCGGGAATTAATGAGGGTGATTGAATCGGTAAGTGATTGTCAAAATCATGATATCTCTTGTTAAATGTCCATTCAATTATGTTCTTAGAGATTAGACTAAGATCTTTAAACGACAACTCATTTCCTATCATTGTTATTCATAGCAATATTATATATGCCTAGACAATTGTAATGATCATCACTCCCTATTCCAGTTCCTATGCAATCTTAAAGTCCAAAATTTGATAATTCCATCTGCTGTGGAGACTTCTGATATGTGGAAGCGCAAGTACAACTTTACTGAGTTGAGTCAAGAGCTGAAGAAAGAAATATCCTCCTATAAAATTTTGATGTTCCCATGTGCTTTAAGACTCTACAAGGACTTGTCAACAAGCATAGCAGGTTAACCTTTCTCTCATTCTCCTTCTCCTTCTCTCCTGTGTGAAGTTTCCTAAAGATTCACGTATATGCCCATTTTACAGACATTAAGAATGACCAGGTGACTTCTAGACTTGAACATGGACCCTCATCAGGAATATTAGTAGAAGAAAAAGAGTAGTAGGGATCGTTGCAGATGGCAATACTCTGGCTGATTGAAATAAACTTATGACTCAAATCTTGGAAAGTCCCTGCCAAAAATTATTTGTTTCTACTCAGTGCTACCTGATATTCATTATTGAACCAAGATGTATTGATATGGGATTTCCATATGATTTTTCTTTGATGGGTAAATTTGACCTACTTTTGGACTAAGTTATATTTGTTTAATCTAAACAGTGATGATCAAAAGCAGTATGATCTAATACGACAGTATCGGTCTATCATATTGAACACGTACCCTTCATGGTTTTCGTCAGCACTTGACAACATGACCTGGCCTACGATTTTAAAAATTGTAGTTGATCTCAATCAACTCAACACAAGTCTCTAATATAGGATTTCGATAACAAACAATAAAATCATAATCTCATTAAGTGATATTTGACTCTAAATTACATGAATAACTTATGTGTCCAAATAACCTTATTTGATTTTTTTTGTCATTATTTTCTCAATTGGCACTGCGCCAGATTTATTTGTATACAATAATTTTAAACCATTATTTCTTGCGGGGACAAATTCATCTTAACATTCTTGTTTTTGTTATTCTAATATCTTCTTTTTCTTTTGATACACACCTTAGGAGAAACTATTATTCTTCTTTAAAATGGTTAGAAGTCGTTGTGGGTAGCAACTTAAAAGGTGAAACATACCTTCGTGGTCCCTATCAAAGCCACTAATAACACATTGTAACGTATCAAAATATGACTATTGTTTTGAAGTAAAAGGAGCAAACGTAGCAGGAAGATCCCTCAAGAGATAGTTGGACTTGGACTCCAGTGCTGGAAGACTTGCAGTTAAAAGCTATCTTTATTGTGTGCACCCCAGAACTGTCGTAGCCATAACCTATGTCCAGTAAGGTTCCATCCTGCAAATTTAGGATGCTAAATCAAATGACATTTCTAGCAAAGAAATTACAAACTTAGAACATTTAAGACATAAACGAGGTGGATATTTGGGATATTCATTTGACCAAGATAGTCAATATTCGTATAATCTTAAAATTAATCAATGACAATTGGCATTGAAGTTAGTTGAATTCTACGCTGAGCATTAGTGAAATGCAAGCAAAATGGATTAGAGGCAAATAAAAATGAACCGAGAAACCACTAATCCATGTTCTAATAAGATTCGTTTTTATGTCCAATCATTTTGATTTGAGTAGTGTTCAACACCATCAACCATAAAGAGAGGGTGATGGAAATGAAATTTAGTTTTTGTTTATCACATCATCATCTTCCTCAAATTGATTAGTTAAAATATAAACAAAAAATTAGGAAGAAAAAAAACATCAGAAAAAAGTGACGACAACAAATAAACAAGAGGCATTTGGAGCGTTTTTACCAGTTCTCCCTCTTAAAGATCAACTCGGTGATTGAAAAGCTTATATTGTGATATTGGATCGGACAATGAATCGATTCAAAGTCTACTCACCTGGATCAATTGGTCTGACCTAGGTTTGAAACTATGATTACAATTATATTCATGATTTTTATTTTTTTATTGTAAAGATTTTATCAAAATTAGTTCAAAACGGTATGCAATGTCTAATCCTAATGTAGTATGGTTTTTTGAGAAGTTGAAAAAAGGTAAAGAAGTTTACCGCGAAAACATGGAAAAACCTCCCTGAGAATGAATTTTAGTGTATATAATATTATCATTTTATTAAGATCTTATATAATCTATTTGTTATTAGAGCGTGATATTTTTAAAGCCCAAACTAATTTAGCCTAGTTAATGGCCTTTTTCATACTATGACATGTAAACAGGTTAAAACCCAAATTTTAAACAGGCCAACAAGTCAAGTGGGTTAATAGGCCTAGTTTGGAGAACATCTTTGTAACCACTTGTTAAGATAAAAATAGTTTATATGGAAGAGTTTATACACATTTGTTAATGGATAAACTTTTCTTAAAAACCTATATTTTTAAGTCTTAAAAAGACTTAAAAATATATTAAAAAGACTTAAAACCTACCCAAGTCGTCTTAAAAAGATATATAGGTATATAAAATAAAAATGACTAAAAAATAAAAAAACATAAAATCTATATTTTTAAAATTTAATATTAATACAGTTAAAATTTTATTTTTAATTTAATTATTTAATATATAAATTACAATAAAAAATAATAAAAATTAAATATTTAATCTTTATCTTTAATAAATAATAAAAAGTACATTTTTAACTCTTAAAATAATAAAAAACAATTCTTAAATTAATTTAATATATATAGATAGATATAATATTTTTATTTTTATTTAAAAATAATAATTATTTTACAAAACATATTAACTACAAATTTATGAATTTAGGATTTAAGACCTTGATCATTTAGATTACAACTAAACTATACAATTAAAATAAACTTAATTTAATTTATAGTATTTTATTTTCTGGCTTATTTTATTTTTTGAATTTTTTCCAGTCAACTAATCCGTTCATACTTATTTTGACTTCTTATAATTAAAATAAGCATGCCTAACGCAATTATTTGATTATAATTTATTTTAACTTAAAAGAAAAGTGTCTTTATCTTACAATTTTTTTCATAGCAAAAAAAACAAACAAAAAATTAACTATTATGGATAATTTTTATATTATTTTAATAGAATGACATCGTAATTATTAAGAATATATATTTTTAAGGAGAACACATTAAAAATAACATAATTTTTTAAAATTATTTTAATTAAAAAACAAAGTATTTTTTCACTAAATAGTACAAACAAACAAACTTGTTCGAGTTAAAATTAAAGTATTCAAACTTAAAAGTCCACGCCCACCGACCTATTGACCGAAATCCATTTTTCTTTTTAGAAATACACTTTAAACAATATTAAGATTTTTGTGAGAATATATATATATATATATATATATATATATATATATATATATATATATATATATATATTTTTTATATATATATTTTGAAAGCAGCAAGCGCAAGACTTTTTCTCAAAAGTAAAAAAATGACTTTTGAAAATAAAATTATAAAATCACTTCTTTTTTTCTTTTCAAAGTTATCAAAAGTTTGACGTAGCACTATGCAGCCAAAATGTAAAAGAAAAGAAAAAAATTCGCAAGAAGATTAACTTCAGGACTTTAGAAATAATTAAACAGTATCATTGAATTTACGTTTATAGATTTATTTCTTTGCTTTTTATTGTACTTTTTAAATTTTTGATATTTGTAATTCTTTTTATTAATAATATAGTTGTTTTTAAATACTACACATAAAAAACATCAATAAGTATAATTAAACTATTTTTAATTCACAGTTTAATTAAATAATGTATTATTACTTATATTCATATTTATAGGAATTAAAAACAACCATACATTTATAAAATTTATAACCTCATATATATTCATATTTTATAAGTCAAGACATTATACTAATTCAATGTTACTTGCCTCCTCGTCCCAAACAAAACGATACAATTATCATTCGATAATGAGAACACGTACAAAACAATTTTGTAACAAATCACTTATATATTTAATTCCTTTTGAAATAATTATTAAAATCCATGTTATAGTTAAACTGAAATAACTCTACACATTCACTAGTATTATTTTAATGAGTTTTCAACGTATACTTAAAGAGCGTGTGAAAAAATATAAAAATGTAGGAACTTTATTTTCAACTTCCATCGTAGATCAGTTTCTTGCACCTTTAAAATAATATGCACTCGGTTTCAGAGACTAGGAACGAGTAAAAGTTATTGTGAGGAATTTTAGTTTAGTTTAAAAAATTATTTTTGAAACTCGGGTTTCAAATTCCTTTGACATAAATTAAGTTTTCAAAATTTATAGGAATATAAAATTAGATTTAACTAATATGATTAATAACTAACTTTTAATTAATTTATATCTGATATTTGGTCAAATAAAAGAATATCCTCATCCATACCAAGAAATAAATAGCTAAAATTAAACTAAAAGAGCAATTTGTGTCTATAAATATTTATAAAAAAATTAAATAAGTTTTTAATGATACCCCGTCTTTTTTTATAAAAAAAATTAGTTCATAATTAGAATTGATTTTTATATCATCTTAAAATTTGTGAAATACTTGATCTAATTATGTTAAATTAATTTAATAAAATAAGGATTATACTTTATTATAATTTATAATGTAATAATATGAAAATATTTTGTTCTTTAAAAAAAAAATGTTTATGCAGGAACCAAGTTATTCACCCGACATCACACGAACATGAAATATTATTCATTAATATCGAGAATAAAGTGCTGCTTATTGCAAATAACGCTAGTGTAGAATAGGGCTTTTACGTCACCTAATTGTCGTCGCATGCATGTATATTCGACGTAAATAAAACGCGGTGACAATTTTGTAAATGTGAGACTTAAATTTTACGTCGCACATCCCAGTATGCGACGTAAAAAGCCTCTTTTACGTCGCACCTGGGTGGCGCGACGTAAAAGATGGACTTTTACGTCGCGCCCTCCAAGTGCGACGTAAAAGATGGCTTTTTACGTCGCGTGCTGGGATGCGCGACGTAAAAAGTCTATTTTATTTCCCTCCGAGACCCACTTCCTCGTCTCGCGCAACCAGGGTTTTTGAGAACGACGACGAGAACGACGACAACATGCTACCTCTGCACACCATTTTCGAAGCGGTTTACGGTGAAAAACATCTACATTATCGTGTCATTTGACGAACTTGATCTTTCTCCTCGATTGGATTCGAGTTTGAAATCAGTTTTCGTCTACACTTGAGGTTAGTGTTCTATGTCATTGCTATATGTTTACATTGAATCCGTGATTGTTTTTGGGGATCTCAATCACGTTATAGTATGAATGTCTCCACTGGATTGTTATTGGAATGTAATTATTTGTTTATTTGTTTGAGTGCATTCGGTTTACACACTCCATTGTTGTTGGAACGTGCTTTGTTGTTTGTATATTAATTTTTTTTACATATAATTTTTAAA